GACATCGAAAAAATATCTAGTTGTTCTGCAATTAATCTGATGAAAGGCTTGAATTTGTTAGTAGATTGACTTGATTTTGCTGTTTATGGTGCTTAAAATGCTTCTGTTTTAATGAAATTGAATTAAATTTGACTTTAAATCAAGTTAATTGTTAAAAATTAAAATTATAAGTTAAGTTAAAGCAGCTGCCACCAGTCTTGCGCTGAACCAGAGTAAGTGGCTTTGCTCGGAAAATAGACTTTACGGACCTTTCGCCTGACTTACCAAACTTTTGAATCACAAGAACTCGATATGAAGAATGGATCCAATGTGATCCAAAGCGGGAATATCAAACAAAATTTAGAGTGAATCACAAAAATATTAGATGGTGCAAAAACTCCAATCAACAAAATGATCGACTAATTATTTTGTGACTTATTGGGAATAAAAATCAGAAAATTCCAACTGTGAATAGGAAATTGTCCAATAAAGTCTAATATTGTATTAATATCTTGTTTTCATCTTGAGATTTTCATTATTCAGTTAGCTTAAGCCTAACATTATTCGGGACTATTTTTCAATGCTAATGATCTAACATGCGATGATTGAATCAGCGATAAAGATATCTTGCTTTAGAAATTTCTGCAATTAACCTATAGAGTTATCGATTTATTATTGAACTCTACCCTTAAAACTTCAAATTATCGTGGTTCATAGCAAGAAATGGTTTCCTCAATACAATCAATCCTGATTGAAAAGACCCAAATTCATTATGAGAAAAGCAATTGCAAAAAAAAGACCAAAAAATGGACTTTGACTAGAATAAAAAAATCAGTGTTCCGATAAACAAGTGTGTTCAAGTGCTCAAAATAACAGGCTGATATTTAATCATCGCCAATAATTACAATGAACATTACATTTGCAAATTGAATAAAGTTAATTTGAAAAAAGAGCTCTTTTGTTAGTGGCTCTACCTAATGTAACTGCTTCGTGAATCCTGCCATCTTGTGGTAAATTATTCCATTTTTCCGGTTTCTGCAGTTTTTTACTCCTGAAAATTATCACACGTGTGTAATTCTGAAGTTAATCATTTATTAATTTAACACTTTGTTTCATTTTATTAATAAATACCATGGCTGAATGGGAGCTTACTAATAAGTTGGGTCAATATTTAGATCGTCATCTGGTATTCCCCTTACTTGAGTTTTTGTCCACAAATCATGTAAGTAAATCTAAGCCTGATCCACCATATTTGTACAATCCTTTTTCACCCATCAATTTATTCCTATGTATGATATCTCACTTCACCGGCTTTTAGTCAATCTAATGTTATCTTTTAAAAATTTGTTCTGCACTAGATTTATAATGAAGATGAATTATTACAAGTCAAGCTCGGCCTGCTTAACAACACCAATATGGTTGACTTTGCCATTGATGTTTGGCAACAGCTAAATCCTGATCAAATCCCACCAGACCAATTTATGGAAAACAGAATTAAGGTCGTTAAACAGTTGAAAGAACTTGAAAGTGTTACTCGACCCATATTAGAATTGCTCACTAATGAAGCTATTAGTCAAGAAATTGCTAAGGCTCGAGACGTCCGTCAATTACTGGATTATTTACAAAAAAATCATGGGGTAATTATCAAAATCAACCTTATAATGTACAATAGTCTAACTCTGTTTCTCTCATTTTTATTGTAGTTTAATCCAGACATGATCGATAGCTTATTAGAATTTGCTAAATTTCAATATGAATGTGGTAACTACTCTGGTGCCGCTCAATATCTATCCTCCCATAGAATGCTTATTTCTCCAAATGATAAAAATTATCTTAGCAACTTGTGGGGAAAGTTGGCCTGCGAAATATTGATGCAGCGATGGGAAGCTGCTTTGGAGGATTTTAATCGTCTCAAAGAATTCATAGACAGTTATCCCTTTTTCGCAAACCAATTACATCTTTTACAACAAAGAACATGGCTAATTCATTGGAGTTTATTTATATTTTTCAACCATTCCCAAGGACGTGATATGTTAATTGACATGTTTCTTGAGAAGAAAGTAAATTATCCAAAACAACAAACGAATAATCCATATTTGAATGCTGTTCAAACTATGTGTCCACATATATTGAGGTACTTGACTACCTCTGTCATCACACATCGTAAACGACGAGAGCACATGAAAGAGTTGGTTAAAGTTATCCAACAAGAATCATATACATATCGTGATCCAATCACTGAATTTGTTGAGTGTCTATGTGTCAACTTTGATTTTGATGGAGCTCAAAAGAAACTTCGTGAATGTGTTGAAGTCTTCGATCATGATTTCTTCTTAGTTGCTTTAAAAGATGATTTCATCGAAAATGCTCGTCTGTTTGTCTTTGAAATTTTCTGTCAAATCCATGAATGTATATCCATTGGGTAAGTATTTCATACTTAAGTCAATTTTATTAGATTTATTGACATTTGATATTTTATCATTGCTAATCTTAACTTTCTTTTATTATCCAGTATGCTTGCTGAAAAACTCAACATGACTCCAGAAGAAGCTGAGAAATGGATTGCAAATCTGATTCGGCAAGCCAGATTGGACGCTAAAATTGATTCAAAATTGGGTCATGTTGTCATGGGTACTCAAGCTGTTTCTCCTTATCAACAATTGATTGAAAAGACAAAGGCTATGGGAATCAGATGCCAAGTACTAACCATGAATCTGGAAAAGAAATTACACTCTGTACAAGAAAGAGGATGGGATCTTTCATAATTCTTAAACTTATAATTTAATCATTTGATATATGATTAAAGAGCGCATTATAACTGCAATGTTTGGTGAAATCCTTAAAATTTCCTTTAGAAAAAACAAAAATGGTATTAAATAATCAAAAATTATTGCATTTTGTATACAAACAATTAATATTTGAATGGATGAAATTCATCCTTTACCATTAACACTTTTTTGTCATCACCATTCAAATTCAGCTAAATGAAAAGACCAATCAGACCAAATTTAATCTGACTACGAAACAGAATTGAGAACTAATTTAAACTAATTGAGAGACTGAAATGAAAATAATACTTTTAAAATATCAAGAGGTTAGTAAATGGAAATAACTATCAAAGAAACAAGGAGAAAACCTTAATTAACCTAGTAAATGAACAATGGATTTCAAGCTAATGAAAAGTATAGTAATCTAGATAAATCAAGTATTGATTAAATTTACAATAAATTGAAGATGAGACCAAACCAAAAAACACAATGAAAGGAAAAAATTGCTATGTAAAGTTGTCCCCCCTTAAGCGTTACCATGGATATTCAATTACAATGAGAATTCGTTCTTCTAGATTCTCCAAATCTTGTTGCCTTTGTTAGTGTCTTCACTGACTCAGTTTATAAACTTATCATGTTGCTGTGGACAAAAGATAACTCATGATTGGTTTATCAAGACTTTTATCATAATTAGAAAAATAACTTTCGCGGTCGACAGGATTCGAACCTGTGCGGGAAAATCCCAATGGATTTCGAGTCCATCGCCTTAACCACTCGGCCACGGCCGCTCAATACTAATATTCCAGCTGATCTCAGCTGTTGGCGGATGTTACATCACGATAAACCCATTTAATCATTCAATTATCATTAACTCTTGAAATCTATTTTAACCAGTTTTAACAATCCTTAAGCCAACTGTAAACCAACTATAAATCAACTGTAAATCAACTGCAAGTTTATAGTAAATCAGCTGTTAAATCTGTGAATCATGTGAACGTCTTTCTGTCAGCCGCTTTTCACTTCAACACTCAACCAAAACAAAAGGTAATCAATTTACTCTAATAATTATGGTTCTTATTCAGGGTAAGTGTTGGTTTTTTTGCTGATGGTAGCTGAAAGATTGGATCATTTGTTAATGAAAGTCAGATAAATCTTTCTTAACCAGGATTGATAAGATTGAAACCCTTAAGATATTTGTTTCTTGTTTTTGTCTATTAAGTGATCTTTGTTTGAGATATTTTGACTTGTGATATTTATCCAATTTTTTTGTTTCTTTTTCAATATTATTCAGAAGTTTATTTTGTAGTGAAATCAGGAAATAATAGTTCAGCTGAGAATTAAAATTTTCAATATTGACTTTAGTTCGTCAAATGATTTTATTTCTTCCTTTTAATGTCGTCTTTGATTTTTTTTCTTCTATTTGTTGCTTGTTAGCTTTAATTTGTTCAACATTAATAACATGCGATTAATTCTCATTACAATCATCTCAATTAACATCACTTTCCCTTTCCATCATTTTAATGAAGTCAACAATTTAGATTAAACTTCTTCCTTTCTTTTCTTCCATTACTAAAAGACATGAAAACTAATCAAATTGAAACTTAATTGATCAAAAAACGAATTTGAAATTAAGCTATTCACTTGACTAGATTAATCTAGTTGGTTTATGCTGGTCACAATTTGTTGATTGAAATACCAAAATGACGAAATAAAGTTTACAACAGCTTAAATGGCTCAAAGTTACTCTAATCGTTCATCTTAATTTAATGAGCAGCAATAAACATGAAGCTCTGAACAATCAAAACAAATTGAATTAGATAATTATATTCCAAGATAAGCACACATTAATAATTGTACACGATCGCTGAGACTAATTGCCGGTAAACAGTTTGAATTGTAATTGGCAAATCTGATAACTTATCAATGCAAGGCTATTTCAATGGCAATTGTTTTTGAAATCAAGAAGTATTGAATGACAGGAAAAATTTAAATTTCTAACCGTTGATAATTCAATATCAAGTGAAAAATTTCGTTCCATGACCAGAAGCATTATAAACTTCAGAGACAGATTTAAAGACGCTATTTCAAGGTACATCAAAATTTTCAGCTTGAAAGTGTTATTTGTGTATAATTAATGTATTTGGTTTGCAGGAAATGCGTCAATTACGTTGAATTTATAGCATTTAGATTACAAATTGGTTACAATTAAACACGAAGATATTGCCAATTGAATTTACAAGTGTCGTTGAAAAGGTTAGCTTAAAATCATACACTTTTACCGTCTGAGATGGCGCTTTTATTACAATGTAATTTTTATTTGGTCAATTGAACCGGTTACCGGTCATTTGCTAACCAGCTAACCGTTAATTACAAGTGTGTTTTTACAGCTTTTCGTGATCTATTTATAAGGTTTATCTATTGATGATGGTGATTGCTGATTGGATTTAACTTGATCTGGCAGATTTCTCTTAAAATTCTTATTAATTTGGTCAATGCCGACGATCAAAGGTTTGCTTTTTTGTATTCGATGATTTGGTGATGGTTATCTGATTGATGGTGATAAAACAAACAGTTTAATATAAATAATTGCGATGATTAACACCTCTACTGCAACGGAAAACTAGTCTTACTATTGGAAATGGATTAGAACGAGAAGAAAAGAGCAGAGTGGACATCAATTGGCGTTTTAATGAAAAACGATTATTGGTGAGTTAAACTGAGTTTGTTGGAAAGCTGATGAAGTCTAATAATATTTTAATTGTTTCCAGATTTCATTTAATTCTTTCCACAAGCTCAATCAGCTAAACTTAAATGTTTCTTTTTTGTTTATATTCTGTTCTCTTATTTATTCAGTCATTTACATGATCAACACTTGTTATTGGACACTTGATGGTAAACAAAGTACTGGTACAAAGTGGACAACCTACTGTGATTCCTTACCAACCGTTTTCACTATTCCCGGGAAACAATATTTCATTGTTCAAATACATACTTTAATAGTTGGACATGTATTTATAGCTGATAACTTTTATGTGATTGATGAAAAGTGAACCAGTTTGAGTCAATCATCAATTTGATATAAACAACATTAAGAATAAAGAAAATCTCGTCATAAACGCCAATCAATGCTCCTGTATTCCTTTTCCAAGCAAGCTTCTAATAATTCCAGATTCTTCAATAAGCCATTCAAATGGTTCTGGTGATGTCAAGACTTAATAATTAGACTTGAATTCAAAATATTTAAATCCATTTTATTGTAAAGTCTACCTGATCCCGACTTTCTTCATCTATTATAGACTACAAATATTCATCAGACAATTCTTGGTTAACGCAAACATGCAAACTGGAGTCACTTAATTCAAAATTTATCTTGACAATTCAACCACTTCTGGGCTTTTTGATTCATCAATAATTTGCTGTTGAAAAACGCAAATGAAGACAATTGATTTCAACGATTTTATATAAATCAATAGGCCATTATAAAATTGATAGTTACTATTTAACATCTTGAAGTATGTGCTTATGGGAATGTATCAGATTACATGTAACTCAATCTGAATTGATTGTCACAAATTTGGAGTCATTTTATTTTGGAAACGCAAAGTGACTTTGAAGATGCCTAATCTTGGCACACTAAACAATCAATAACTTATAATTGATTAACAATTGGTAAAATAAAAGGGCAAATAAATTATTCAAACAAAATTGGTCATTATTTCAATTGTAATTAAAATATCAAATTAAGCAACAAAACCCATAAACAAAAAAAAAACGATTACAAATGTATGAATGAATATATCCTAATAGTTGATTTCAAATCAAAAACAAGCTCAAATGTTGATTGGATTGCATGTTGATGTTTCCACCAGCAAGATGATGGTGATGATTATAGTGAAAGTAAGATGAAGCCACTTCCTCTTACCTCAAGTTTACATGAAAACATTTTTTCCGGGCCAATCGAGAGTGAAAGTCCGAAGTGAAAGAAGGAGGAAGCTCAAAGAAGATGATGAAAAATGATGAAAAAGGGAAGGATAATATTTTGTTTCTGCCGGGTCAATCATCAAAACTATTTTTAATTGTCAATAAACCATTTCTTAAATCATATACTTAAATAGTTTAACTTTGTGTATTGGTGAAGACAATCAAATTTTGCATTAAAACCTACAAACATCGCGTCTTTGACCGGACATTAATTTAAATAAGTCAACTATTAGTGAATAAGAGATGACAATCTAATGAAAATGTGAATCGCCTATTATTTTGGAAAATCTGTCTGATTATTGTTTAGTGGAACCAGAATTATCTTTCCCAATTTTGGTCTTCAAAATAAACGATTATCCACCTTGGGTTCATTTTTTCTTGTGTAATATAATTTTGTGTTTTGTGACTTTGTTAATTCCTCCAAATAAGCATTTACGATGAGGATAAGTGTTATTTTGTGTCCAATCCTGTTAATCATTTGTGTCCATCTCAACGGTGCTACATTATTTAGTCTACTGGGCAAGAAAAATTATATCCTAGCCAAGCCTAGGATCATAATTAAGCCCAAAATTTACATTGGAACTTCACCATTGTTAGGTAAAAAGAAGGCTCTTGCTGCTAAAGCTGTGGCTGGTCTTGGTGTTGTTGGAATACTTAAAAAGCTAACACCTAAAATATCTTTACCCAAAATTGAGCTTCCTCGTCTGGGTTTACCCAAGATTCCTTTGTCATTCTCAGTTTCTCTGGATAAACCTGAATCAAGCCAAAATGAAGACGAAGTTGAGGAAGCAGCTGAAGCTGCTGCCGATGCAGTTAGAAACGCTGCCGCTGAAGATCCAGACGATCTTGGCCATAGTTTACATACATCCAAAAAGTCACTATCATCTTCTAGATTTACTGATTTAGCATGGTTAAGTGACCCACCTCCAGGTTTCTCGCCTTATGGAGATGAATTTTCAGTCGAAGAAAGTAAATCACATCGAAGTGATAGATTACAAAAAGGTAAACAACAATCCTCTCCGTCTTCATCATCAACTTCCCAATTGAGAGGAACAAATTATCAGTCAAGGGACAAATACAGTAAATCATCTGGCCACAGTCTTAAAACTAGTTTAACCAATAATAATAAAAATCATAATATCAATGATGACCATGATGAGTTTAAAAAGTTTGACTCTAAAGAAATCAGAGCAACCACAAAATTACCAATAAGAAGGAGAAGAAGACCCACTAAAGTGGACAACTATGACGAAGATGAAGATGATGATGAGAGATGATGATTTTTTGAATAAATTTTGCAACATTTTATACATTTATAACATCGAAACAAGTTGAATTAGTTAACATTTTGTAAACATTTGAAACTAAAAGCTACTGCATTTCATTATTACTCATCGACGTCTGGTTGGGCGCGATATACAAAATTGCAGACTTCATCGAGTAAATATTTTATAAATTGTAGATTTAAGTTAGATTAATTAAACCGAGTAAAGTGAAACATATCAATTGCTCAAAATATATCATAGGTAATTGTACCATAATCATTATAGTTAGAATTGATCTAATAGAGCAGTTTATTTCTGTTTCCCATCATTTTCAATGTACGATATACAATGTTATTTTTTCAGACTTTACCAATGAATTGGTTAAGAATTGTAATCATTGAGTTTAATAAATAAATTAATCATTCTATTGTTTAACCGTTCAGTTTATCGAAAGTTTTATTCTATCATGTGATGTTACCTTCAAATTGCAAGTGTGATTAAATTAAAGGAATTACTAAACAGCGAGTAATGACAAAGTCATAGTTTTAAGGAGTAACTGATTATAATCAGTCAAAGCTCTATAACAAATGTATTCAAGTGTTATTGAGTTTTATCATGATTTAATTGATTACTGATTGTCACTTCTAAATAACTAAATCCTAGAAAAAGCTGAAGCAAAAACAAATTCAATCATCAACTAAAACTAACTTGAAATCTTCCAATCGTCAACTTTTCCTCTTTAAATAAACCATTATTTCGCGATTTCAGGAAGTTAATCAGTGAATAAAGTATTTTAACTGAATATCTTTTAGGAATAAAGTAGCTGTTCAAAATCAAGTTAATCAGCCTGGAGCAGTTGCAAAGTTGAATTAGGAAAAAAAATGGTTCTTGTTTTAATCCTAACAGCAATTAAAATGATAATAATATCGGAATGCTAATTGTCTGACAACTCATGGGAATGTGAAAAGGTAAGACAATTGTTAAAATTGGACAAAGTACAGACAATAAATGGTTCAAACTCAAATGATGCTCAAATGGACACTTAATGGTAACACGAAAGATTTATCTTGTGTTTTGGTCAGATTAGAAGCTCAAATAAACAAGTTTGTGAGCTTTTGATTATTAAGATTGGTGGCTAATAGTGATGCTTGTTGAACTAGATCAAATACAGATTAATGTTATATATAAATAAATTAAGTGAAAAAGGGGAAATTAAGTCAGTGTAATAAATACAAAAGGTAAAGAGAGAGGAAAATCATTACAAGGTTTTCAAATGCTTGGGTAACAATGAGATTTTGTTGCTCTTTTTGAAGGATTTTCATTTGTACTAAAAGACTGATTGAGATATCACTTTTTTGTTATTACAGTATGAACAATAAAAAGTTAATTTAATGTTTAATAAATTCAATTTCGCTTTTATACATGAGTCATGAGAAATAAATGTAGAATAGCCATCAAATAATCATTGAAGTTAACTATGGCAATGTTGGTTAGATTAGAAATGGCATTGTGATCAAATGATTACTTTAAATATAATACTAGATGGAGTAGATAATGAAGATGATGATATTGACAGAATTTTTTTGGAGTTACTGTTGTTGATAAAAAAAGAAACGGGATTATTTATGTTATTACTGCGAATTGAATGTTTGATGTATGTTAAATGAAAAACTTACAATGTGCATATATTGATTTCATGAATATTAGTGATTGGGTGATTAATGATTCAAGGTGATTGTTGGATAGTTAATTAGAAAAACCGAAGGCAGGTTAAATTAGTAAAATCCTTTTTTACAATAAGTTCAATCAAATTTGGCGATTTATCAGTTTTGATTCCTTTCTCCTTCAACTGGGCTATTTTCCTTGCGAAGGCATCAATTGGTTTTCCTGAGCATGCGAATAATCGTTCAATTAAACGCAAAAATGGCACAGTCAGTTCATGATGATCATAAAAATCGGTTTCTAAGATCATTGGGATTGCTTTTTCAGCATAATTTAAGGCTTCCTGTGGACTACCAGCGACTTCCATGGAGGCCACCAGAAGAATCAATATTTGGTAAATTTGAGCACTGGTTTGATCATTAACTCCTTGGAGAGTAATTTTCTCTTGAATAAAATAACAATTTTCTAAAATGTTACCAGCGTCTTCGAAATTACGTGATTTAAGGGCTCGTCTTACTTCCATCATCTCCTTTGCGTGAAGAAAATCTATGAACGGTCGACTGGTTCGCAATTCATCAACTGATAAACAATAGGTAAGAAGACTTTGAAAGGCAAAGCTTCGTTCCCTAATAATTTGACTTGAAAAGTTGCCAACCAATGTTTTTTTTGGAAAAATGAAGTCTTTCAACAAAATGGGAAATCTTTTCATTAAACCCATGTAAAGAGACGAAAACTCTGTATATCTCCTTTCAATAACCCCAGGTTGGCTTTCTAGACCGGGACATCTTTTAATAATGATTGTGTATGATACATGTCTATTCTTAACACCACTAGGAGACCCTGTAGTAACAGTGCGAGCGGAAATTATCTCGAAGGTTACACGATAACCTGTTCTCTTTGGAGTGGCACAATTGATTGTGTCATCTCTCCATTTAGCGAGTTGAAGATTTGTTGATGTTACCCGAGCTTCTCGATCTAAATCCTTTAGATTATTGTAACTCTTTGATCTACGGTCATCACCACTGTAAGAATATATTGATGAAGAAGAAATCGAGTCACAAGTTAACTGAGTTAACCTTGAAAAACCATTGATGTTCCTATCACCATCAGAATCAAAATCAAGATCAAAATTAAGAGCAGGGCCCAAATCTTCATCGTCTACATGATCTCCACCATTTAGACTCGAATGGACCACAGGTTTAACAATGGAGGTTGTAGATGTATTATGACTTTCATCACTGTAATCGCTGTTTTCTTGAGGACCACTAATGGAGGATATATCAGAAAAACAAATGGATAAACTTTTCTCCAAGCTAGAGTTAGATGCTGTTGTTGGTGGAATTTTTTGTGACACTCTGGGCAATTGTTTATCACTTAGGTTGGATAGGCGAGTATCACTTTCATCCCAGATCAATTCATTCTCCTCATAACTATCCAACATCTCGTTTCATTGTTTCAAAAAGAAACAGTAGTGAATTGATGGTTAAAAATAAAATGATATTCAGGTCAATAATAATGAAACAATTGGTATTGTCTTAAAAAGTATTAGGTTCCACTGGTCAGGTTAATCTAGGACTCATGAAACACAGATGACAAATAAAAACATAAAATTCAGAGAAATACAAGGTTGAGCATCATTCAGTGACTCTTAAGAGGGATAAAATGACAACAAATCTTATCAAAATTGACTAAAACAATCAGTGTAAACATAAACCTAACAAGATAGATGCACAGCAATTTGATTTGAGGCTTTCCACAACTTGAAATGCGCACATCATTCTGTCTCCAATGGCAACACAGTAAGCGTTGAAAGATTAAAATTTTCAAAAAAAACCAATTTATTTTTCAATTAATTAGTCATCATTTATTCTATGGTGTTTTTTATTTACAAATAAATTGTTATTATCTAGATATACTCTATATTTTGTTGACTAAACAACTCTAGATAGTGATTGAATCATGTTCAAATTAATCCACGTCATCTTGAGTTCTCTGGTTCTCTGGTTATCAATGTTATATACTTTTCGGGATGGACCTGATAAAACTCGATTCCACATTTTCTTATCACCTATTTATTTGATAATTTTGTTTGGCCTAGTTTCACTTGCCATTGTACTCAAAAGAGTTTTAAATTTTAACGATTGTGAAAATGCATGCCAGGAATTGAAACGTGAGATTGAAACAGCCAGAGTTGACCTGAAAACTAAAGGGTTTAAGTTTTAATGCTCATGTGTTCAAATTTTGTTGATATCTTTATTAATATTTACATCAATAAACAATTTGTCAATAATTTAGTTATTCAAGCAACATTTTATTTCCGTGGATGTTGTTCAAAGGTAACTGTTGACTATAGTTCATAATAATCATGATTCACTTATTTGATATTACATTTTACATTATTGTCTTGAGCTGGGCGGTCGTGAGATAAAAGCCCGAATTAAAATTAATAAAAATATTGAAACAATAGTTTGTCAACACTTTGAAAAGTTGATTAATCTCTTTAAATGACGGGGAAGATATAAATGTTTCCATTATCATAGGGCAGAGTCTTTAATAACCAAGATTTTTTTGGAAATGAGATAATTGACTAAGCAAAAAACTGATGAAAATTGAACAATAAATAAAGAACTGGATGAGAGTTAATTTGTTTATTAATTTGTCAATGGAAATTCAACGAGAAAGGGAAAAAGAGGAAAAGGAAAGAGTAGAAGGGGGAAGATAAACAAACAGATATCATAGAGACATTTGATGAGCCTAGTTGCGTGGAAGTCTTCTTTTAGCTTTCTTGAAATTTCGCTGAACAGCAACGGCACCCGTATTAGACGTATCAGCGCTGTTAGAAAAGAGAAGAGAGAATTGATTAGAATCAAGGTTATAAGTGACGAATAAACAATAAAAAATTGATTAACTTACGAAAACGTAAAAGGCTGTCCCTGGGTAGGGGTCTGATTAAGGAAGTTGAAATTAGGCTGAGTCTCGAAGTTAATCGGAGGCACGGATGGATTTGTTCCCAAACTTGGTTGAGTATGATTAGTGGAAGCGGAACTGCCAAAAGTGAAAACACCACTGGAGCCTGCTGATGGTGCCGGTTGTTGAGATTGAGATGTAGATGCTGTAGCGCCAAAAGCGAATGTAGAAGCTTGACCAAAAGCATTGGATTGGATTCCAGATGTGACCAGAGATGAAGGCGCATTTGTAGACGTAGAACCGAAAACATAACCAGAAGAGCTAGAACTTTGGGGGGTTGATGCCTGCCCAAACGTAAATCCTCCAGAAGATGCAGCTCCTGTTGATGCGCTGCTTCCAAAACTAAATGATGGAGCAGTGGATTTTGAAACAGTAGAGGCTGGGGCAGTTGTGCTGGGAATCGATTTTCCTAAATCGAATGAAAATCCAGACGACATGGTTGGTTGGGAAGGTGCACCTAAAGAGCCAGTAGGCATTTTTAAACTGTTATCTGATGCTGTAGGTTTTCCAAATACAAAGGTGCTGCTAGCAGTAGTAGAAGCTGCTGTAGTAGACGCAATAGACAAACTGTTTGAGCTTGTCGATGATGCCGGTTGTTTAGCTTGCGATGTTGATGGTGAAGCGCCAAAAGCGAATGAAGAGCTTGAACCGAAAGCATTTGATTGAAGAGATGATGGCGCATTTGAAGACGTAGAACCGAAAACATAACCAGAAGAACTGGAGCTTTGGGTAGTTTTAGGTGCTTGTCCAAAAGTAAATCCTGAGGTCGATGTTGTTCCTGCTGATGAACTGCTTCCGAAAGTGAATGCTGGAGCTGTTGAAGCTGTTGTAACAGCCGAAGCTGAAGCAGTTGTGCTAATTGGTTTTGCTAAGTCAAATGAAAACCCTGATGATGATATTTTTGGTTGGGAAGATTCACCTAGAGAGCCAGTAGACATCTTTAAACTGTTATCTGATGCTGTTGACTTCCCAAATACAAAAGCGCTGCTAGCGGTTGTAGGGGTAGATGTGGTAGATGCAATAGACAAATTGCTTGAGCTCGTCGATGCCGGTTGTTTAGCTTGAGATGTTGATGGTGAAGCGCCAAAAGAGAATGTAGAACTCTGACCGAAAGCATTTGATTGAATTCCGGGTGAGGCAAGAGATGATGGCGCATTTGAAGAGGTAGAACCGAAAACAAAACCAGAAGAACTGGAGCTTTGGGTAGTTTTAGGTGCTTGTCCAAAAGTAAATCCCGAATTTGATGTTGTTCCTGCTGATGAGGTGCTTCCAAAAGTGAATGTTGGAGCTGTTGAAGCTGTTGTAACAGTCGAAGCTGAAGCAGTTGTACTAATAACTGGTTTTGCTAGATCAAATGAAAACCCTGATGACGATATTTTTGTTTGTGAAGACTCGCCTAAAGAACCAGTAGACATTTTTAAATTGTTTTCTGAAGCTGTTGACTTTCCAAAAGCAAAAGAGCTTGTTGGTGAGCTAGCGGTTGTTGGGGTAGATGTAGTTGATGTTGAAGAGAAATTACTAGTAAGAGTTATAGTCTTAGAAGTTTCAGAGCTGCTGAACCCGAAGGCAATAGGTTTATTAAAGCTGAAAGATGAGCTTTGCTCTGTTGATTTAGTTGTGCTGGCGAAGCCTTTGAACCCATCATCAGCTGATACTGTAGAGCTAGTTGGTGCTGGAAATGAGAATGGTTTGACCGCAACTGGTGTTGATGTAGATACAGGCTTAGCTCCTTTTTTAACAGTTTCGCATGCGATACACTTGAGGTCAGCTGGTTTGTTCTGCACAAAGCATTCTTCACACATCCATGATCCTGGTGGAGGTTTAAATTTACTAAACAATGGTTCATTAGCTTTAGCCACATTTTTATCTACAGGCTTGTCAGTTTTGTCTGAAACATCTTTAATTTCGGTCTTTTCTTTTTCTAGAGGTTTACTTAGTTCACTTGAATCTGTTTTAACAGCTGATGAAGCAGCTAATTTAATCGATGTATCTGTGCTAACAGGTTTTTCCTTGGTAGGCACAGTTGAGTCAGATTTGAGAACCTTGTCAGGAACTTCTTTAACTTCTGAACTTTCCTTTTCTATAGGTTTACTTGATTGGTCTGATTTTTTACTAGAGTCACTTTTGGTAACGTCTCCGAAATTAATTCCTTGATTATCATAATTACTCTCAACTGCAGCCAAAGCAGCATCAGCTGAAATTTTACTCCTTGAGACAGTTATCTGGGAGCCACTGGTATTCTCTTTAATAGGATCAGATTTTGGCACAACCATTTTATCCAGAATGACCTTGTTAGATAATTCACGAAAATCTGTTTTGGTAGCTGTAGGAATAGCAGTTTTACTTGATAAATCTGTGCTAACAGGTTGTTCCTTAAGAGGCACAGTAGCTGAGAAGTCAGATTTATGAACCTTGTTTTCTTTCTCACTTTCATTTTCGACAATTTCTATAGTTGTAGTAGGTTTGACTCTTGTATCGGCATTCTCAGCTTCTTTGATGTTTTTAGTATTGTCACCTTGATGGCTGGATGGATCCTCTGCTTTTTTAAGGGCAACCAGAGTAGATGAGGCAACTGGTGTAGATTCAACAGAGGATTTCGCAAAGCTGAAAGAGGGCAGTTTAGTTATATTCAATGGGACATTTGGAAGTTCAGGGGACTGAATCTTTTCAAATAGCTTTTGAGAGTCTCCAGAATTCTTCCGTATTCTTGCTCTAATCTTTCCACCACCGCCACCTCCATTATTTCTATCACCAGAGGAGAAACCAAGTGATGCTCCAACCTCACGCTGGGATGCTGTGCTCGTGTCAGCTTTATCAACAGTATCAATTTCAACAGGTGATGATGCCCATTTAAGTTGAGGTTTATCAATTGGAATAAGAGGATTCATAGAAGGATAAGGAACAGATGATTTACCAGGCCTAGAATAAGGTGTTCTAATAGATGATCTCCTAGATTCACTAAGGTATCTATTAGTATCAATAGTTCCATAAACAGGAATTTTCTTAGCGTCTTCTAAAGGTGATGAAATTTTTTCAATATTAGCTAATATCCGCTTAGCAGCATCACTAAGAAGGTCCTCAGAATTCAATTTTTTACCATTATCACTGCTTCGGTTGAGTTGGATCTTAAGACTGGTATTACTATTATTACTAGTTGGACTAATTAATTTGTTGAAAGAGGTGGCTAGCCGAGCTCGCTTGGCTGATGTGCCACCAAACGTGGTCTTACCCTCATAATAAGGCGAATTGATACCACGGGACAAAACACTTGTAGGTGAGGTAAATTTGGAAACATTAAATCGAGAGTTAGGAGAGTTAGACCATAAAAGAGATCTATTCTCGTCTCTATTACTTAACGATGGCTTGTTGTCTGTTTCAACACCAACGTCCCTCGTATTTTTCATAAGCTCCTTTCTTAGCCGCTCAGTCCTGTCCTTGTCCAAAGGATGAGACAGCTTCTGTAAATAATTATTAGATGGAACTAAAGATGAACAGCCACTGGTGGATGAAGCTGTATTCTCACTGGACGAAGATCCTTCTTCGTCTCTGACCTCGTTAGCAATACCACGTGATGTTGATGGTGTTGGAGTTGTAATGGGGCCAAGTTCAAGTTTTCTTTTACCAGAAAATCTTGGAGCAGTGGAAGTTGAAACCTTACTGCTTAAAGGCAACTCGGATTTGCCTAAATTATTCGATTTTTCAATTTTATTGAGTGTATCTTTGAAGTCATATTTACTCTTTTCTTTGACAGGAAGTACCAGAGGTTCCTCGGCGACAACTTCTTCTTCTTCGGTGTCGGGAACATCCAATTTATCTTCTTCTTCCTCTTCTTCACCGTCTTCTGCGTCTTCAGCGTCTTCTTCTTCTTCCTCCTCTTCTTCCTCTTCTTCCTCCTCTACCTCTTCGTTTTCCTCGTTATCTCCTGCACCCGGTGCGGTAGCCGGTCTCGAGTCCAATAAAGTTTCTTCAAATCTACCATTCTCTTCATTAATATTAACTTCGTCGTTCTCATTTGCCACATTAGTGAGAAAATAATTCTTGACATTCACAACCCAATTGGGCAGGTAACTCTCAAATTTGTATTTCAAATACCATGGTTGCTGGAAGATAAATAAAATAATAAGATATCGTTAAAAAGAGGCAAGCAATTAGATCAGAGAAAGCGAAAAAAATAGGCGAAAAAATAAATAGAAAACCGATATTAATTATAACTATAATCTTAACCATTACACACATACACCAACAGGTTAAGAATGTAAGGTTAAAGCATTGAAAAACCAGACCACACCAACAAATCAACTTACCTCATTGTAAGGTCTATCATAAGGTTTGCGGCTTCTTTTACGATCTTTCTTTTTCCATTTGTAACTATTAGATGATGACATGATTAAAATGACTGAAACTTGGGTCTAATTAGTTGAAAGAATTTAATAAACTAAATTTTAAAATATTTTATCAACATTGAGTTTTTTCAAAAAAACCCAAATCTAAAATGGCGGAAACCATTAATTTGCGCAGTGCGCATCAAATAAGAGGGACGGTTACTAAATAACACCTTGAATATTCTTAAGTTGATACAATTAATAATAAGAAACATTTACAATTGATTAGAAACCCATTCATTAACAATAAAATTATATTTACTCTAAATAATAAACTCCTTACTGTTACAATCTTAATTAAATAAATTTATCTTTGTTAGTAAATAGTCTCTTGAATTTAGTTCAACATAACAATGGTTTGTAAATTAAACATCGAGTTTTGTAGATCAAATATTACATTCATCTGAAATTTAATTTAAATTGTTCCAAGCCATCCTAATGCATTATAATAATACATGTTAAATGATTCTAGACACTCGTAATTTTCATAGTATCAAGGACAGTAAATTTTGCCTATCAACTGCCTTCACCTGGTTATATCTAAAGCTAATAGAATCTGAAAGCCGATAAATTGTACACATGAGTTGTTTTGTATTAATAGTTGTTATGCATCTCACAGTCAGGTTGTTAATTTATAATGGATGAATGAGTCAATCTTTATTCCAATTTGAGCCAAGAATTTCCGAAATCATAATCATTTACGATTCAATTTGAGTTCCCATGAGACAGAAAGAAAATCTTATTCTTTTTGACTGTCTTTATAATTGATGTTATTGTTGAGTGTTTACAGAACCAGCGTTACATTTTAACTCGAAAGTAAACTTACCAGGAAATATCTACGACAGTAATCTCCTAAAACATTGATCATCACAATATTTATTCAGTAAACTTGTCTTCCAGCCTGGTTTCAAATTTTTGACGAAAAATTACAAATAGAAAAGGAAACATTATTTATAAATTGTTTCAAATTTACTTCGTTAACCAGCAATTCCATTCACATGGCAAACACACAGTAATCCAGAAATGCAATTTACTTACCAACGCCTAATGGTAAAAAAGTGGTAAAAATTTCTAGATCTGGTTTCAACTGAAAATAATTACTTACCTGAACATAGTTCAATACTTCATACAACCAGACTATGAAACATACAAAAATTTACAATATAACCCTGCAAACAGATAAAATTTGATTGAAAACAATGAAATTAGCTAATTATAATAAACAAAATTATGTAATTTTACAAAAACGTTATCTAATCGTCAAGGTGGAGCTTGAAATTTTGAATAATGCGCTGTTTACCCAGTAGCTCCATCTAAGTTTTTGGTTTAACACAAATATTATTCTGTGTCAAGTTTCTATTTGTAATTGCTATTATTTTTAATTAAGTTGTCTTTGATTAAACTTTTTTTATTGCACGTGAACCCTTTCCCTTTACCTTAAATTTAAAATGTCACAACTTCCTCAAGAGGCTCCATGGCCTTGTATCTATGTTTGGTCACAAATTCCTGCTGATAATGTTGTCACAACTCCGGCAGCGGCCAATCCAAATATAATAATGGCAGATGCTAATGGTGCCATGCAACCCACCGAAAGGATACCTATTCAAGCAACCCCTGAAATGTGTGACGAGGAACCTCTTTATGTGAATGCAAAGCAATATCACCGAATTTTGATAAGACGTCAAGCTCGCGCCAAATTGGAAGCAGAGGGTAAAATACCAGCAACGCGAAGAAAATATTTACATGAGTCAAGACATAAACATGCTATGAATCGGGTCCGTGGTGAAGGAGGAAGGTTTAAACAAGGGAACAAAGTATAACATTTGCTGACAATAAGATCTGTATCTTTTTTTTTGTCCCTTTAAATCTTCAATAAACATGATTTAAAGCAAAAATAATACTCAAAAGAGATTCGATAGTTTGAAAATTTCTTATTTATGCTAACAATTCTGATTGGTCAGTTGAATTCACATTGCCTCATTCATATGAACACGTTTAGCTATTCTCCTCCTCATTACCAGCTGATCTCAGATGTTTATTTAATTTATTTTGTATTTTGTTTATTATAATTTCTATTCTCTCATCAACTTCGCTCAACAATTAAATTGTCTTTTAATCACAATAACATCCAAACCCCATCAATGTATGTATACCATCTCTTCAAGCTCTTACCCAATCAGCTCACTGTAATGTTTTCTTTTGAATCTGTTTTGCGGGAGAAACATGAAAGTCTTTATATAAGCCAAATTAGCTTATTTAATAAATTATCATCCAATTTTCCTTTCATCTCGACTGTATAGAATATTTTCATTTAAACAGTCAACACCTTTACGTGTCAGATTTTATCAAAACAGCAATTATAGATCATTGCAAACCTCTAAAGGAAACACTATGATAGCTCGTATGCATTTTTATTTCAAATATGATTTTAATTGTTTTTTTTCTATTTCTTTATTTTTAAAAGAAAATTGATGCAAAATGTTTCCTCAAAGACCAAGGCCAGCCGCTGAAGAGGATGAAGATGATTTACTTCGAGCACAACAAGAATTTTTAGCTATGAAAGAGGCTGGTAAAATACAGCCCAGTGTTTCTCAAGTTGTGAAGGCTTACGCGAGTGATGATAAATCAGAAAAAAAAGTTCAAGATGTGCCTAAAGAACAAATCGGCTCTCTTACACTTGATGTAGAATCTGCACTTGGTGAACTGCCAATAATTGAACGGAATACCAGCACCTTCTGCGGTTATTCATTCCCCAAAAAGGTTAAAGCTGCTTTTCCCAAACCAACTCGTAGGGTTGAAGTATCAACCATTGAATCAAGCGGAGAATCATCTAACACTCATGGTGGAACTAGTGAAAGTGCTGACTATAAAGAACAAAATGATAAATTACTCGGTAATATGAGTTCAGAGCAAATTCTAGCAATGAGAGAGGAAATACTGTCCAAGCTTAAACCAGATCAGATTGAATTTTTGAAGCAACGAAAGCGAAAGCAAACAAGCAATAATGAATCTGCGAAAACATCGTCTACAAATATTGAAGAAAAGATGGAAGTTACACCAATCTTGGACAAAATCGACGACGATTTACCTATACCTTTGAATGTAATTAAAGAACACAACTGGCTTCATATGGATGTTGTTGAAGAAGAGAAACTCGAGTGGTGCAGACCAGTTAAAGAAAGTGAAAATGCAACTACGGCCAATGCTAGGTTTGATTTTTCTGGCAATATTGTAATGGATGGTAATAAATCAACAGAAGAAGGACTTTATCACCACGGCGATGAGCCTGATAGGCCTGGCTATTCTTTACCTGAAATTTATACTTTCATTCAAAGTAGCTTCGACGCGCAGAAAATTATTGGCCTTAAAATATTGGCCAAATTGATGGATAAAGTTCATAAAGGGTTCTATGACAACTTCTTCAACGCACATTTGGCTCAAGAGGTTTTGGATAATACAGAAATCGTTCAATCTATTCGTAAATGTCTTGATGATACATCCGAAAGTATAATAAGAGAAGCTATAATCTGTTTACATGCTTTAATCTGTAATAATTTGGTTGATGAAGCCTGTCTTGATAGATTTTTCCCAGTCACCATCCATTACAACAATTTTCTTTTCATCAACCCAGATGATCTCGATAAAAACATCGATTTGAATGAACTCAAAGACGATCAATTGGTCAAGATTGACGTGATAAAAGGTTTAATCCGATTTGATACTCTTCCGAGACTTCGTTACCTTTTAGACAACAACATTAAATATAAGCAAGATCCAACTATTTTCAACAAGATTATGGAAATTTTGATAAGAATAGCAAGACATTCCGTTGAATCCTGCAAATCAATAGTTGATTGTCCATACCTAATTGAAACAATTGTAACAAATTTCATTCCTCCTAAGATAGATTTTGCCAATATTTCAATTTATGGCAATCCATCCCCAAAAGCGTTGAAATTGATTCGCTTGTTGATGTCTGATTCTTCAAATTGTATAAAGATCATGAACTCACATATTCGATTATGGGATGCACTTCAGTCATATTTAACCCTGGATCCAGATTGTTTTCGACTTGAATTGACCAGTTTAAAGCGTGTTAATATTCTTCAGATTGCTATCGAAACACTCAGAGTCTGGTGTATTCTACTTTCCAACTCTGAGATTGAACCAGCAAAAGATTGCTTTAACCAAGTTTACCCAGTGATTTACCGACAGCTTCAATATTGCTGCACTTTAACATCAGCAAATCATAAATTTGATTTCCAATATGCGGCTACATTAGTGAAATGTTTAACTTGGGCTGTTTATGAGGATACTAAATTCAAGCGTGGTTACGAATCTCTCGTTCAATCTGTATTATTCCAGTCAGTTCGAGATTTGGTTGATATCAATATCATTCCACCTTTTGATACTTTAATGATGATGAGCACTTGCATCGAGTTTCTGATTAAAGCTGATTGTAAACCTACATCTTTGATCATCAATCTTTTGCAGCCATTAATTGAAAGTGATAAAATCATGAAAATATTAGGTACCAAGTTGCGAAAGTGTTCATACACTCTTAAATCCAAAAATTTCGAAAATGGAACCCTTCGTGATGCCAAAAGTCTACCATCTTTCGGAGCTGTTTATTTTGGTGGATCTGAGATAAGATTTGTTGATTTGGCTCAAGATGATTCTGTTGTTTTCTTTATTGAATCGTTATTGGGTGCCGCTGAATTCACTAAAATCCCACAAATGATTTCAAGGATTGTTTTAGATAAACACATTCTCAACTATATTGAATCAATTATTGCTGTTGGTCTATCTAAAGACGAAAGCATCTTCACGCAAATTGAATTTACTTTTTTGTACCAATTGTGTATCTCCTCGCTAAAAGTGATCATCAATGAAGAACAGCTTTTTTATAATTTGTCATTAGTCAGTCTATATCATTTAAAAGATGTTCAAATGAAGGAAAATCTTCTCAACCTAATAATTTTCAACTCAACTATTCTTAAAAAATTAGCTGAACTCAGTGATGCAGAGATGACAGGAGTTGATAATGTCAAAACAATTTACTTCAAACACTCAAGTTTCGATTCAAATATCTGGATGTTTGATCCAATCATCAATTATTACACTAACAAAGATTCAACCAATGATGATAAAATTTCTAGTCTCACTGGAACGCTAGGATTCATTTATTTCATAATGAACACCAATTATCAGCTATTAACATCCATGATACCACAAGAAACTCTTCTTTGTTTAATTTCAACAATTTTCCTGATTGATGATCGATTATTTGCTGAAGATGCCATTTCTCATCACCTTCGAGGATGCCTTCAAATTATTAACAAAGATAATTTAATCATATCTGATCCTCAGCAAAAATTACCTCACATTTCAACAATTTTACACTTTTTCGATCTATTCATGAAACAATTTGAATCCGAGTCATTTGGAGATCCAGTTTTCATTAATTACCTGTTGATATTTCTCAAGCCAAAGTCAAACGCTGATTTCAAGAAGAAAATCTTTTCCGATTATTCAGTTTCACTGCGTTATATAAACCTACAACCAAAAGATCTTTACATCTCAATTGAGAGTTTAATTTACCCATATTTAAACGATCTAGAAGTCGTTGAATTATTTTTAACAAGTCTTTTATCTAACCAAATACCTTTAACAAGGCAAAGTTTGATTTACTTCATAAGTGTTCACCACGTTCATCATGCTCTATTCAAAGCTGAATACCAATCTTCAGGAGACAAAGAAAGGCTACAGAAATATCATCTATCTCTAACTAAATGTCAAAATAATATCTTGCGAGATCACATAACTAATTTTATGGAAAGTGATTTAGTCGATAAATGTGAATGGGCTAAACAATGGATACCATTGAATATTTCAACAATTGTTAAAAATTGAACTTCTAATAAACATTGAAAAAACAATCCTTTTTGTGGAAAGATTTTTTTCAAAAACAAAAATAATTTAATTTAAATTAATGTCAGAAAATGATGAGAAAGGTGAGAAAAGTGAAGTAAAGACGTGGAAACTGCAATTTAGGTTAAATTACAATTTCCACTAGGATACAAAAAATTAAGAAAAGTCAATGAAATCAAATCTCGGCGAGATGATTTTTGACATAATTTTCGTTGGTACAAAAAGATGAGAAAAACGATAGTTAATTCTATTGTTTCGGTGGGACCCTATCAATGGGTTAGTGTTCCAATTAAAGATGGATAGGACAATTTGATTTATGTTGTTCGGTGGTGATAATGATGATAATGGATGTTGTCCAAAAAAAGTAACAATGAAAGCTCTTAAATCAGTTTTAGATTAACAGTCGACTGGAATATCAGTTTAGTTGTATTTCTTGTCAACATTGTCTAAAGCTTTCATTACTCTGTCGAGAACATCGGAAGCGCCATCAACAAGTGCAGATGTGTTGATTTTGAATGAAGGGAATGAACGATAGTGATATAAGTATGGCTCACTAAACATAATGAATGGTCAGATGAAAAAGAAAAAAAGAAACAAATTAAAATTAAGAAATTAAGAAATCAAAACAAACAAAAGCTAAAAATAAAAACTGTAATGTTACCTTCGTCTGCCTTCTCTGAGGAGAAGACCTAAACCAAGAGCTGGTACCATAAGAGCGCCTAATCCAAAAAGTAAAACCATTGGTAAAACATTTCCGATGGCACCTGGAATCATTGATGAAATTACATTTAAGATTCCAGTTCCAGCAGCAGCTCCTGCCTGCCTATTGGATCCATTTGAATTTGTGGCTGGTGAATTGGCTGATAAGGCAACAGTGACGATTGATGAAACAATCAACAAAATATATTCCTTTCGGGTCCACATTTTTGGCTTTTGTTTTTAGTTACAACTAAAATCAGGAGAAAAAAATATCCAAATTTGATTAGATGATCAATAAAACACTTAAAATGTATTTAAATTGCAACATAAATTGTAAAAATTGGTGAGTTACAGATCACAATTAAAAGAAATGTATTTACCTTGGATAAGCTATTGAGATTAATTGGAAAAAAATGGTCGCAGGAAAATTGTCCGATGTTCACACTAATGAAGAATCACATAAGAACCTGGATAAACTTGGAATGAGCTTTTTATACTTCGACAGGGAGAGAGCAAGGATGATAAAGATGATGATGATGAAAAGTGGAAGGGGCTGAAGATGAGGTTGATCAAGTTCCAGATACAGTTAATGTAACAGTGAAATGAATCGCGTCAACTTGTTTATGTTTGATCCTCAAGATGAATCCAAGAAACAAACATGAAGATGATGATGATAAGGTCAGTAAAGTTGTTCCCTTTAATGCAATAGAGGGGAGGAAGGGGCGAGTTTTTGGGTTTGTTAGGGGAAAATTTTAGGTGTCATAAGAAGGTGGGAATGAGCGCTTTTTTTGTACCAAAATTTTCAACCTAGGATCTTCTATATTTAGCATCATTATTTTCATCGTCTTCATCATCATCGTCATTGAGTCCCACCCGCGCCGTTATAACGGTAATACTTGCTTGACGTATTTACTTGAAGATGTTAGTGTTTACAAGATAAACCTGAATTGCTTGTTTTATACTTTAACCTTAACCTTAGTTAATCAACAAAATGGTTACCTTTTTTTACTAACATCGATGAGACTTTCTGTTGATAATAATGATACTGGAGATGATGATGATGATAATAATGATGATGATGAAGAGGCAAGAGGAAGAGCACCGTAAACCATTAACCTTCAATTAGAAAAGTCATCGGCATCTGACTTGCCACTGATCAACCTGATTCTTATCCTGAAAACGAGTAAACTTCCCTCAGGCATATCCGTACACATCATAGCTTTAATTTTAATCCTTATTGTCATTCTGAGGGGTTCAGTTTAACCATAACAATTACAACAACAGAAAGAGATAAATTGTCAAATTATTGTTTAGTATTCTTGTCAATTGCATTTGTCAACAGCAATAACAGACAAAATGAACCTGAAAAATAGCATTTAAAATATCGAAGCACAATCATAACCAAGATTCAATGATACAATGAAAAGATTCTGTGAGAATGATAATTCTAGATTCTTCATCAATACTAACAAGCAAAAGACACCATTCCATGTACTGTTACATAGACTGGTTAAGATAAGCCTAAGGGAAGTTTACTGGTTTTAGGATAAGAATCAGGTTGATCAGTGGCAAATCAGATGCCGATGACTTTTCTAATTGAAGGTTAATGGTTTACGGTGCTCTTCCTCTTGCCTCTTCATCTTCAGTTAACATCAGCCGAAAGTCTCATGTTAGTAAAAGGTAACCATTTTGTTGATTAACTAAGGTTAAGGTTAAAGTATAAAACAAGCAATTCAGGTTTATCTTGTAAACATCAACATCTTCAAGTAAATACGTCAAGCAAGTTTTACCGTTATAACGGTACGGGTGGGACTCAATGACGATCATGATGAATAGACGATGAAAATAATGTTAAGAAGAGCCTAGGCTGAAAATATGAGCACAAAAAAAAGCAGCAAACATTCATGTATTTCATTTTTCCCACCTTCTTATGACACCTAAAATTTCCCCACAAAACTCGCCCCTTCCTCCATATCCTCTACTTGATTAAAAAAGAACAGCTTTACTGACCTTATCATCTTCATCTTCATTTTTTGCATCCTCTTCATGCTCATCTTTTTAGCTTGTTAGTCTTAAAGGCTAAGCACAAACACGGTGACGAGATTCAACCATCAACTGTACCTGGAACTTGATCAACTTCATCTCTTTCCCTTGCAACATGAAATAGTTTCACTGCAAAACTGCATCAAATGTGCTAATTTTTTCTCTCTCATCTTCTTCATCTCTTCATCTTCTCATCTTCACCTTCTTTTTTCAGTTTCCGCACCTAAAATACCTAACGATTTTCTTTCTTTCTTCAAACAACCTCATTCCTAGTTTGCCATCTTTTTTCACCACTAATATGCTATCAGTAACAGGATAACTTTCAAGTCTTTCAATTAATATTTTCATTTATTCATATATAACCCGATCCAACTGTTAGTCTGGGTTCATCTTGACTTAAACACAGCACTTTATTATCATACCTTTTCATCACTAGTTTAGGTCAACACTCAAATTGAAATTACCAGTTGTGTGTTCAAAGATAATCTTTAGGAATACATTTTTAATCTTCCTTTTCTTTAACCTCTTTTTTATCTGGATTTTCATTGTTCTCCGCCTTTTCAGATCCAGTTCATTGGCTTTAAATTTATCAATTGTTGCCCTTCTTGTTGGATAATATTCACACTTCTACTGACCTTTATAATGTTTACCCGTTTACCACTACAATAAAAGATTGTTACATTCAATTATATATGAGTTGCGGTTAAAATTAGGTTTACCCAGTTTCAGCATGAAGTACACTGAGAAAGTAATTGAAACAACAACAACAATAATATCATCAATCAGATCTGTTAAGTCAGCCTAGGTTATGATTGATGAAACGGTTAAAACAGCTTAGCTTGCCCATTATTTGGTTTGTTTGGGTATAATCTCACGGTTATGTCAAAATCAGTTTGAATCAATGAATGAAACGCAACCAGACTATTTAACTGTATCCAAATGAGTGGATAATTTAAATAGGGTTGATAACGGCAATCAATTTAATGTCAATGTAATGTCGCTTCCTGAAGAATGGATTGAGATTGTTAATTTTTACCATCCTAGCTTCATGTGAGCCTCCTTTAGAAACAGTTTGGTCTATTAACTAGTTAATCAAAAACAAATATATTCAACCATCCTTTGACCGTTGAAAATTAAACCCAACTGTATGAAAGATGACAGTTACAGTTAAACACTGTAAGCTCATTGATTGAATTTTACTGATTTCAATGGATCTTCAAGCAGATTTTCCCTGATTTGTAATTTAGTTTATTGTTCCTCCAGGCTAATAGAGTTTAAAGTGGCATCTTGATCCTTCTAAGGTTGGTTGCTGTAAATAATGAATTTCATCTTGTTCCCGGATGTTATCTTGAGGAAGAAATCAGGATGATTAAGATGCTGCCAGGGTAAAACATGCAGATAATTGTTATTCACCAAAGTAAATGAAATAATCAGCCAATTTCGACTGGTACTCCTAAATATCTTTAAGACAGAAAGTGAAATAAAAATGAGATTTTCAAATTACAAGAAAATGGAAATTTCTGAGTTGTTGATTAATCGTGAATATTAGAGGTCAATTAAAATATCCTTTCTGGAAAGTATTGCGTCCAAGAGAAATCTGAAGCCAAAAGATTTCATCCATTAATCAACAGTCATGTCCAGTATTTCAAACTAGAAATAAATACTCGATTAGGCCTTTCGACCACTCGTACCATTGAGATTACACAAAAGTGAAAATATGAGCAAAAACAAATTAAAAGGAACAATAAATTAAAATTTCAAATAAAACTTGGAGTTATCACGCAATTAATAAAGCCAAATGGATATAATTTTCAATAAATCTTGATGAATCTTAATTTATAACACTTTTTCAGTGAAAATAGTGAGAATAAGCTATTTTCACTATTTTGTGTGTTTTCAATGTTTACTTGATCCAAAGGGCCTTATGGATTCTATTTTTGTTACAGTTGGAACCACTCGATTTGATTCGTTGATTGATAAAATATTGGACCCATCGACTATTAAGGTAACTATTTGTTTCATCAAATTCTTATTATTCAAATTTTCCATTTTGTTTCCAGCTTTTGCAAGATATCGGCTGTAAAAAGTTGACGATACAAAAAGGCAGTTCTCCTGCTAAAACACTTATTCCTCAACCAACTGGTATTGATGTTGAAGTGTTTGATTACGCACCAACCATAATTGATCACATTGAAAAAGCCAATTTTGTTATAGGTCATTCAGGTATATATTTTCTTATTTCAAGTTTTTCCATTTTTTCATTTTTATCAATTATAAATTTATGTGTTGTCTTCATTTGAATAGGAGCTGGTACCATTTTGGATGTATTGAGATGTGGTAAACCATTACTAGTTGTCATCAATGATTCTTTAATGGACAATCATCAAACTGAATTAGCTGATAAACTGTCTGCTGAAGGTTTTCTTAAAAGTTGTACTGTAGATACGCTAAAATCAGCTTTAAAGTCATTCAATTCTGACTCGATTAAGAAGTTTCCTGCACCCAATTTAGACACATTTCCAAAGTTTTTAGATAAAGTTTTCCAATTTTGAAATGGAAGTCATTAAAGGCGATAAACTAAGAGAAAGTGAGAATAATCTGAAGCTATGTGGGAAATTGGTTGGCAAAAGAGTTGTTATAACCACTGATGTTGGATTTAAATGTGCAGGATTAGTGAAAGCAATTGACCCTCTTTCTGGAACAATAGTATTGTTACATTGTGATGAAGCGGACCCTTCGAAAGTTACTGATATAAGAATAATAACTGGGCATTCCATTGAAGAGGTGAACATTGAAGCTGATCAAAATTCAAATCAATTAGTTGCGGATATTTTGAAAGAAAAGGAATTTGATGAAAATGAATTACAAGATCGTAAAGAAAAGCTTATCGACTGGTTTAAAAAGAACCGTATTCCAATTGTGGAGAAAGAAAATAAAGATTTAGTTGTGGCTTCAGTAATAACAATAAAACCACCTTATAGAAAAGATGATTGCAGTTCAAGTAATGTTATGGTAATCCGGCGAATACAAGATCTTATGAGCAAAATGCCAAACTCTGAATATGTTACTGAATGAACAAAAGAATGAGCCATTTCAATTCCAGATTAAAATTTAATACTTGCAAGACAATAATAAAAAAGTAAATTTAAAAAATTGACAAAAAATTTTAATTACACTTGACTAATATAATTTTCAATAACCAATATCACATAAATATTAAGGCATTTGATGAAATTTTGTGGTGAACTGTTTCAGATGAGGTTGATTGTTCAAAAAAATTTAAATAATTCATTCATAGTTTATACGGAGGAACGTTTAAAATTGTAATAACATTGATGGACTGATATCAGAAGAGTAACACCATAACATCCAGCCGCAATCCAGCAATTCAAAGCCTACAATGAAAACAACAAAAAAGAGTAATCAGCAACAAGTTTACCAGTGTATACAATTGTATTGTAAGCGAACAAAATGTACTTACAGCAGTTTCGTATTTAGTTTTAACGGCATTCCATAGTTCATCGGCTGATTGAAATTCTTTCCCAGTTTCAACTTCAGCAAAATCTTCAGCAAAAGCAGTTGAATGGAAATTAAGAAGTAAACCAAGAATGGGTAACATAATAACACCCCATATGCTGATCAGAGTACAGAATAAAGATAATTTTGGGCCGCAACAAGGCATGATTATAAACTAAGGTAAAACAGGAAAACACAGGGTCCAAATGTTAAATCGAGAAATCAAAATTACCTAAAGAAACAATTAAAACAAAAATCAAAACAATTTAATTCAGAGACTAAATTACTAGAAAGGTTATTTCATTCATTTTCAAGGAAACATTGCTACTGACATCTACATCTAACAACAGTTGTTTTCTGATGTAGTACAACTTAAATCCAACAGATGGAGCATTAACCTTAAAGAACTTATTTTCTCAAATTTATTAATTAATAAAAATCGTATTTAAATTATTTTTGGGCTTTACTTGTTTTATTTTGTGTTTGCTATTGAATACTTTGTGAAGGCGTATCGATTATAATTTGTTATAAAACAGGAAAACAAAATGTACTTAAAAATACATTCTAAGGATAAACGATTTGAAAAATTAAAATCAAAATCAAAACGAAGCAAACCTAGGCCGAAAGGGTTTGCAAAAATATTACATGCAAAGCTACTTATAAATGGACTTAAATTGTTTTGTCTCAACATTTAAACCTACGAAAGCTGATAACGTATATGTGATGCTATCATGTGAAGCCTTACTCAACACCATGTGAACGAATCCTCATCTAACTGTAGACTCGGAATTACAGCAAATTCAACAAGGAGAACCACTGAAGGAACGAGGAAACCACCAAGAAGCATATCAGGACCTATGTCACAGCTTTAGTCGAAAGATATCAATGAACAAAATAGTCTCTTGGTTTGATTCAATTGTATTCAATTTCCAGCTTTGAGTGCTCGGATTCTTTCTTTTTATCGTCTGATCGGTATCCACTATTCCTGAGACTTAAGTGAAACTAATGGAACATTTTTAAACTTGTTTACTTTCTAATTTTTTTCAATTTCATCTCAACAATTTTTTAATGCATAATCCGCTGAGATTTTTCGGGAATAACCTTGGATTTAATATAAATAATTATTGTACGTGGATCGAACTCGAATTGGTATTTAGGTTAACTTGTTTGCAATTTTCAACTTTCCTGATGTCATTGATTTTTTCTTAGTGTAAAATCGTCTACATTATGATATAATTAATTGTCGAGGAGCGTGATTTTTCACAAACAGTTTACTTTAAGGTTGAAGAGTAAAAATAGAGATTGGTTTTGTTTTCAATAAACCGATTTTACTCCATTTATTGTGATATCTTATGATGTAAATACCAATAGTGACATGGATTAATCTATTTTCTTGCGCTTAAAAAATCCTTGAAACAAAAAGAAAGTGATATCAACCATTGAAGTTAAAAGCCACTTTTCATTTCAATGTAACAACACTTGACAGTAAATCCGGATAAAGTTTATTCATCTTTCAACGATTGCAACTCTGTCTGAGTGATTGATTCAGCTTTGGCATAAAATCGTAAACAAATTAAGGAGATGATATTATTTCTGTGTGAATCAAGGATCAACAACAAATCATTGAAATCAATCCTCTTTGACTTGACGACTATCTGTGCATCTGGTAACCCACAACATAAACCAGTGAATTATGAAGTCGATTTTGTAACAAGCTAAGCGTTTCAATTATCTTATTGGTTGAAGAGACACTTATTAAAAGGTAATTAACAAATTATCACTGAGATTAAACGCTGAATCAGCTAACTGTTCCCAAGTGTCTTGGATAATTGTATAATAAGCAGCACCACCAGCCTTGGATAACATTGTTACCATGCAATTTGCGTTGAAATTTATGTAACAAAAAGAAAATTCAAGGATATTTTTTTCTATCTTAATATTTGGTAAGATATCAACTAAGTCTGTGAGTGAATGTGAGAAAAAACCTCACAATTTACATGATCTATCCAAATGACACTTGAAATTAAACAATTCTGTTGAATTTAAGCAGAAAGTCTGACAAAATATTTGATCTCTTGACTGTATGACTTAAGTATAAATGATCTCAATTGATGTTCAAAAATGCCAAAGAAAAATGCAACCCAATCTCAAATTATTTTATTTAAAATTCATTATTTCCTGTGGTTTTCATCTCTTTCAGGTGTTTTGCCCTATTACGTCGTCTATGTGAGAACATACACCGAAGCTTCAGCCTCATGGATCGCCATTTTATTTGCTGTTCTGCCATTCATCGCATTCTTTACCAATCCAATTCTCTGTTCACTCGCCGACAAATCGTCCAGCCATTTAAAATACTTGCTTCTGTTCACCGCCTTGACCGGCTTTGGCTATGGAAGTCTACTCATTTTACCAACCATTCAAAGTTCACTCTTTTCCTGGTTAATCTCACTGGTTTTACTGTTGATTGCTTACCCTTCAATGGCAACGGTTACTTCGCTTACTGATTCAATTGTTATGATGATGGTTACACCAGATGAACCCGATTGTACCGAGAGCGTAAAGAAACCCCAATTTGGACAGATTCGGGTTTGGGGTACAATAGGTTATGGATTATTTGGTTTCCTTTCAGGACCAATTAACTCAGTCAACTTTGGTCCTTCTTACCTTGAAATGGGTTTCATTATGTTCATCGTTATTTTAATTTTGGATTTAACAATTGTCTCCGTTTGTGCAAGGAAATGGTCTATCCTGGTAATGCCATCAGCAACTGGTCAAACAAGAATCAAGGGTCAAAATGAACGGAAGGAAGAAGAAGAAGAAACCAATGAAAAATTCATCTCACGCAAGGAACAACAGGAGACTTTAAATTGTCAAAAGGTAGGTAATATGAGTCTAGCAAAAGATGAACAATAATTTACTTTACAAGGTATATCTAATTAAGTTGACAATGATTAGTTGGTCAGTTGATGAATAATGAAAAGTGTTCACCTCATCATCATCACCATTGCTGCCAGGGTAAAAGGCTATACTGACTACAAATTTAGTTGACCTTGTTAATGTTAATTCTGATGAATTAGTTGCTCTTACACGCCATTAAATAGTGTAGTGTAACATTTAACAAATTGTCTTGCAGAGTTAACCACATCTTTGAGGTCTACTTTGATTACCATTAGTCTACTAATTAGACAACCTTAAAATTAAAGCTGACAACTGTTTCGTAAACTTGGGCATTAATAAAAACATGATCACTCTATGTTGAGTTAATGTTTTATAACAACGATGACAATCTTAATTAGTGTTTATTAATACTTCCGACCATTGTTAAGGTCAGCCATCACTTTTTGTAGTTGCTCTCAAAATTTTATCCCAAATGTCTATTTACAAGTCAAAGTTACAGATGTAATAATGATTGTATAATTGAATCACAATTAGATAATGTTGACAATAGTTGATTATTGAGCTTCAAATAGAGTGAAAATAATGCATTTAAATTTAATTGTTTACATTTTCTTCCCTTCTCCAGAATAGTCAACAACATTGGTCCATTTTTGTTTCCTTGTTTATCCATCATCCGACGCTCATTCAACATACAATTATATTAATTGGTCAAGGAGTCTTGATGGCCTGTCATTGGTCCTATTTTTACTGGTTTCTGGAATTAGTCTCCGGTCGAAATACATTCCTAATGGGATTAACTTTACTGATTGGCTGTTTTTGCGGTGAATTAATCTTCTTTTATTATGGCAATTCAATTGTCAACCAGATTGGATCGACCAACGCATTCAATATCAGTCTAGCCGCTTTTGCTGTCCAATATACAATTTACGCTTTCTTAATTACTCCGGAAAATCAGTATTTGGTCTGTTTGACTGAGGTCCTTCAAGGTCCCACTTTTGGACTATTTTATACGGCAATGACGCACATTGGACAGGAATATGCCGATAAACAAGCGGCTATATTACAATCATCGAAATCGGAATCAGCAGCAAATGTGACACAAATCCATGCTACGTTACAAGGCTTTTTGTCTGGTTGTTTGGAAGGTTTAGGCCTCGGTTTAGGATCACTTGGAGCTGGACTATTGATTGATCGTTATGGTGTCCACATCATGTGGATGATAGCTGCTTCCTTGGCTGTTTTCCTGTTAATTTTGAACTCATCTTTCCAACTTATAAGAGCAATCATGATAACATATAAATCATGAGTTAACCTGGCAGTTACTTTAATGTCTTTAAAATTTTGTTTATTCTGTTACCTACAAAGAAATGGAAATTTCTGATTTAATTGTGACTTCTTGATGGGAACAAATGGAGTTAACAAAAACGGAACAGAGAAATGTTCAATAGAACAAAAGATCAACCTTAATTTATTTTAATTCAATTTATTTTTGTTAATATACAGAGTTTCAGATTGGTTGATTGTGCTTGTTTGATCGACTAGAGGTTTGACTGAGGAAGGAAGAGGTGAAATTGGATGAAATTTAATTTAAAAAAAAAGAAAAGCTAACACAATCGAGAAGAAAGAGGAGGGAGAATGAGAGAAAGACAGGGAAGAATAGGTTTAAATACAATTAAATAAATGGACAGAAGAAATTTAATGATAATCAATTTGATCATTAGTACCCATAAAAGTCTCTTTTTGATCAAATGTTGAAATTGCATCTCAGACATTTTTCTGTTATAAAACAAAAGAGATTCACAGATTGACAAAAATCAAGAAACAATCAACATTTTTCTCATTGAAATTGGTAAGAATCAATTCTTCCAATTTCATATTTACAGATTGAGAATAGATTCAGGCAAAGACTTGAAAGGGTAAAAGCAAATGATCAAAGTTGATTACAAGAGTCAAAGGGAGAGGAATAAGTTGAAATAATTAATAATTTACAAAATTTGAATCAATGCTCATAATTCAACTTTCTCTCATTTTGTTAGACTCAAACAAGCACAAAATAGGATTGTATGGACACAGAAAAAAAGGAATCAAGACATGACACTTTTCCCAAGACCAAGACCAAATCATCTTAAATCGCCATGATTAACCAATAATAATATTGAATGATGAACTGGACAGTTGATTATGGTGCAAGCTAACACATCCCTTAATAACAAATATTGCATATTTTTGGATCACTTTTTGTCCGTTAATCATAATTATCAAAATCCTTAATAAACACTAAATATAAATCTATACATATACATATTATATATCTATAGTTGCAAAATTACGAGATTGAAAACATTTTGTTTATGCAAGGAAAATGATTAAATTAGATTAATCGGTGTTTTGTGTAAAAAAATGTTGTTCTAATAACGGTTATTGTTGTCAAAAGGTAACCTGTCCAGATGGAGAATCGGACAATTTGGATTTACTTCGCTAAGCTATTATCCTAACTATTGAGGACATTTTGTTTTTTTTGCTGGTGACTTGTGATTACAAAGTAGAAACCTTAATCTCAATGAGATTGTTGTATAAAAGAGAGAGATTGGATGAAAGAAGAAAGATGAATGGTCAATTTTAATGATGGACTTCCAGTTGGTATTAAGACGGATGATGATGAATTTCACTTGGGATTCATTGACTTTCGTTTCGAGCTTTTCTTTGGCCTTTTCATCAACTGGTGATATTTTCAAGCATCAACCTTTCCTCTTCTGACAGGTCAAAAACATTCCTGGTCCGTCGAACTGTAAATGAAAAGAAACAAGATGGATTAATGGAAAAGAATGATAAAAAATGTAAATAATATGATAAAGCTGGACATACAATGGATAACCATTTTAAAAGAAGCAAAAAAAGCCGGATAAGATGGACTCGGTTCAAACCAACTTTTACAACTCTACTGATTCACTTAAAGCAACTTGATTATTATCAATGTAAATTTGAATGATAATCAAGTGACACAATTTAACAATTTCTTGTTCTGATAATCATGGACAACCAGAAAGGTGAAAAACAAGGTTTTTACACTACAGGCATTTAAAGTGCAACATTCAAAGTGATAATCTTTTTGATCCAACGGTTAAATCTTGGCTTACAGCTTGTTAAACATTGTTCTTGGACACAAGTGAATGATACAAGAGCTTTTTTTTAATCATATCAGTTGATCACAATATAATATTCAAATTAATTGTTCAAGGTCCTGTTTCAGTAAATGAATAAAAGACTGATTCTAATCTTTCACCAATTCATCCAACCAGAATGAGAAGAAAGCAGAAAAAAACAAAATAAAAACATGAACAGATTACATCAAACATTTGTTTTTACTAGCTTTGATTACCAGTTTTTATACCAGTAAAAAGTATATCGGTAATAATAGTAAAACATTTGTACGGTTGAATGAATGGGAAAGATGAGGCAAATTAATCGCAATTTAAAAGTCAAATTAATCCTGAATCTAAACACGAGTCACCGTTGGAAGTTGTCATTGAAATGAATATGCAAACACACAAATCCTAAGGTTAATAATTAAACTGCAAGTTAAAGGTTACAATCTTTTCTTTCAGGTAAAAGATTAAAATTCAATATTGATTTAAAGGATGCAACATTAAAATTTGAATAAAAGTTTATCATGAAATGCAACCATTACAACAACAAAACACTTGAACAGTTTTCTGGTCAAGTTTGATCTTTTTTCCCTTAAGAGTCAGATTAAAAGCCTATTGAAGTATAATCAAAATCAAAGCTAAATTATTTACCATTAGGATTTTTGGGCAATAAAATGGTAAACATAAAGGTAACATAAAGGTTAAACAGCGCAAAAAGCCTAATTAAAATGGCTAATAGTAATTTCCAGAGTTGAGGTTGAAATTTAAGGTTGAATTGGACGTTGAAACAAAAGTTACAGCTTATGAAAAGTTAACCAGAAAAAGGCTATAATGTTGCTGTATTATAATGACCTTTACAAATGCATTATTATGATCATGGCTTAATGACTGTAATAACTCAATCAATAAATATACATTTTAATCTAACTGTAATGCTTTATCATGGTATGTTAATTAGCGTAAATTGCCAGCCATAAAGAACTTTTGCCTTACATGATTTTCTTTCCGCAAAACGGCTTTTCCTTTTAGCCCGTTGGTCAGCCCTTAATGGTTGAGCGGTAACAGTTTTAACCAAACTTTCCAATATCTCATCATCGGCATCCGTTAAAGTGCCATTTGATTTACCATTAAGAGTGTTACAATGGTTCTCATATGTGCTGTTTGATCGTTGTCGCGTTCGAGCTCCAGGTAAAGTTCCCCATTTGGATGCCACTTTAGGATCAGCCTCAACATCGGTATAACCATTGTCCAGTACTTTACGTAGCTTTTGATCTGCAGTTTGCTCTTTAGATTTAAAGTTGTCAGTCTTTTGGTAAACAACGGAAAAAAAGGTCAAAAAGAAGAGAGAGAAAAAAACAAAATTAGTTTATCAATCAATCAAAGTTGTAATCAAAATTGACAGTCAACAATTAATTTCATCAATGTGCAAAATTTACATAAAAACTAATGCAACAAACTGTCAGAGTGTTAGAGTCAATCAAATGTTGATCAAATGATGAAGATGACCGAAGAGTAAATCATCAACCTGACACACACTGGAGTGAACAGAGTTGCAATCGGGTGTAATAATGATTAAAAAAGATTTGCTTCAACGTTCATTTACAGCTTTTACATGGTTTTTTGGCAACCATTCATTCATATTCAGGTTATCTTTTTGCTCTTTTTTTTGAGTTAAAAATGGTGAAAAAAAGGATATCGTGACTAAGAAAGTTACGGAAACTATGATGCCGATGTTGATGATGATTTGATGTTAGGAAACAACAAAAAAGAGTAAGAAAAAAATTCAACAAATCCAATGTATAATCAGAACTTCATTTCACTAGATCAAGACTTGCAGGTCAAGACGTAAAGAGTAAGGGATGAATGATGAAAAGAAAGCAAGATGAAGAGGGAAAGAGGAAGAAATTATTACATGTTGTCTGGAATTACCAGTTAACCAGAGTTTTATATTTATTTTTTTTACTTCTTCTGATTCCTACAAATGACTGGTCTTTTAATAAATGACTCTGAAACACGGGAATCTCTGAATTTCAATATATAAATATATAACAGGGAAAGATGAGCAAAAAGAGAGAGATGATCATCATTATCAAGATAATAATTATGATTATCATCAGATTCAATGAGTATCCATCTACCTAATTACTTTTCCCTATCATTTCTCATGAAGCTTTTACTTGCGACTCCTAAACTTTCAATTCAAAGGCAACTATTAAATGAACAACAACAGCAAAAAAAAGGTTTAACTACATTGGTTAAAAACTACTATTTTGTTGGTTGAGCAAAAAAGGTTGCAAGGAAAAGCAATACTTATTAGAAACCATTTATCCTTTCATCACATCAATGAGCTTTTTCACCTTCAATTTCAATCTATTTTCAGCCCTTTTCATCTTCTCTTTCAAATTGTTCATTTAACTCTCACTTATGAATCAAATTTTCTGCTCTTAACAATGTTTTCGGCTTTTACTAAATTCATTGGAATAGATGGTGATGAAGTTTACGTGTTTGGTTCATCTATGGAAACCTTTGGAAACCGGTTAAACCAATTTTTCAACATGAATCAACTTGTTGCTTCTTCATCTACTTTTGACTCAATATTTTTGCCTCTCCTTCCTCATCTTTTACAGGCAATATTACTTATCTGATACAACTATTACTTTTCATTTGGTGAGACACACAATTGGTAACAAAAGCTATCAAATCGACGGGAGATTCAAGTGAAAATCCTTCTTTAAAAGCATTTCTGGCCTTTTCATACTCAGTCTTCATCATCCTCATCTACCTTGACTTGATTATGGTAAAGAAGGAAGCAACTTTAGTCCAAGAAGAAGAAAAAAAGAGCGAAGAAAATCATATTAACTAGCTTATTCTGACGATCAATTTTCAGCCTAAACTAATAAGATAACTTTAAATCTTAATGAATTGACGATAAAAGAAAATTATGTATAAATTTTTCTTCTTCTTCCATTTCTTTCATTCAATCAAATAAAGGTAATAAGATTGTCAAATAACTACGTGACACGAACATATTTGATTGCTCAAAGTTTCATATCTCATTATATTTTGCATTCATTTGTCTGTTTACTTAGGCTGTATCAATCATCATCAAGTTTACAATACCAACACCATTGTTGACCGGTTTTGGTGTATTGATGTAACAAATTGTTGCCTATTCATTATGCCATTAGTTTTGTTGAAGTTTTACTATTCGCATCTAAATTTACCTCTGTTATCATTTTTCCCCGAGTCTTGTTTCTTTCCCGGTGGGAAGCTTTCTTTTCAATTTGCTCCTTTACTCTTTCCCGGGTGGTTCGATATTCCAGGGCAAATTCCGAGATTATTTGTAATACTTGGTGAGGCTTGGTTTCTTTGGCTGCCGATGATGAGAAGCCCAAAAAAATGAGCAACTTTTTAAACCTGTTCAAGACTCGACGGTGAACAATTTTAAGTACAGTTATCCTTTCCGCACAATCGAGAAGAAATTCCGACATTTTGGTTCTCATTGGTGTTTTATCCTCGTGTTTGGCAATTACTTTTAAATAATCCCAAGAAGCTTTACAATCAGATTCCAATTTTTGAATGGTCCGATGGACATCATCAAAATCAATCTTGTAAGCTCGAGTAACGGAACCAAATTCACTGTAAAGATCACTAGAAGTGGGAAACTTTTCCATGACAATGTGACACAAATGGTGCAACAATGAATGCTTATGAACGGTATCTTTAACTTCAGGCACTTTACAAAGATATTCAATTTGGAATCCTTTCACTTCGTTTCCATTGAGAAAATTGCCAACAGATAAAAGAGTGGCCAAAATAATTCTGTACAAAAGAAGAGAAAAGAATGGAAATAATCAATTAAATCAATAATTAATAAACATAATTTGGGAAGAGTTGAAAAAAAGAGGTGAACACCAAAAGATGGAGAGCAAAAATTGGAAACAAACCAAAAATTGGGTTAATTGGTGGTGTTGATCAGAGTCAGTGAAATAAATGGTGATTGTTGGAAACAAAAGGCCCGTAAGATAAAAGGTTAGAGATGGATCATTAGAAAGTTATTAATGTTTGCAATCAAGACTGTTTAAACAATGTTGGGTGACCTAAAGCTTAATTGTTGTCAAGATCAACCAGAAAAGTTGAAAATGGTGAAACAAGGTGAGTTCATAATTGTACCCAATAACTCACAGTGATAATGACTGTTAACAAAGGGATCAGTTTTGAAATACAAATTGAACAAAACAAAACTCTCCTTAGGGGCTAAATTGGGCATTAGCAAGAAAGATGATCAACAAGATGAAGAGAGAGAGAAAGAGAGAGAGAGAGGACTGAATTATTAAATTTCTTATGACATCAAGTTTAATGGAACAAGGTTGATTAAGCAACAATTAAGCTATAATGTAAAGTCAGCAAACCTGTCTTGAATGCAGCCACCGAGGCAGCTAATTTTTAATTCAAACATGGTAAAAAGAAAGAGAAGAAAAATAAGAGAATGATGATCAAAGATAATCAACATTTAAAGGTAACATGGAAAGGTAAAAAGGCAAACAGAGAAAGATGGAGATTGAAAACCAAATAAAAATAGGAAATTGATTGTAAATAATATCAATTTTTAGACTGAAATACCAGAATTTTTTGAAAGCGTAAGAGTGATTTAAATTAATATTAATTTGGTTAAATCTTTGAAAGACATTGACTCTGGAAATGTGTAAGAAATGTTAGTTTTTTAGGTTTGATTTCAATTTTTGTCAAAGTTGAAAGTGATGTCTTTATAATGAGCAACTTTACTGGTGTGATTATTTTGCCCATAGAGAGCTCGTACAAACCTGAAAGTATCATTTTTCTCAATCTCTTCAATTGCTCTCTTTAAATCCATCAATTGCTCAGCAATCTCTTTCTCCATAGCATCATAATCCAACTTAAATGCCCACAATTTAAGTCGGGCCTCTAGATCACTTATTGAGGCCAGGGTTAGTAAAAAATTTTCCGCACTTCCCAAGGGTATATCAGGATTAGCCATTTGAGCTTCCGTGATTTTGGTTTTCTCATCTTCGGTTGGCATCATGGTTAGTATCTTTTCAATGCCATCTCTATTCATGATGGTTGAATCCATTTTCATGATGGCAGTTTTAATTGTTCTAGGTGGAGGTAATTTGGTCATACCAATGTTTATTGCATTGGACCTTTTAGCATCCAATACAATTAGCTCATTCTTTTTACCCTCTTGAGCTTTCTCTTTGTTGGCTAACTCTTTGGATCGATTTTCAAAAAGATGTTCCAATTTTTGGGTGTCAATCGGAATCGTTTTAATGTCATCCCAAATGGTCTTCTTTTTCTTTAACCGACTCAACAGGGATTTGTCTTCTTTCACTTCTTTCCAGAATAATTTAACAGTTTTCTTGTTTTTATTATTATTTGACTTTGAATTTGCATCGGGTGTTGGTGAAGGAGTATTTTGTTCACGACCATTGACCAGAATTCCGTTTAAACCGTTTTGACGGAGAAATGAAGGGTTAAAGGGAGGAGGAGGTGGCCCTGAGTTGGGAAAGGGACGCAATGAGTTTCCATTGAGATGGTTCATCGTCATGAATGGTGGCGGTGGAGGCGGAGGTACACCACATCCTGGATCCGTAGGAGGTGGAGGAGGAGGAGGAATCGGAGATGAACCTTCGTTATTCTGTCAAGAGAACAAGAAAATTAGTATTATTAATGAGATTGTGTGTAAAGAAAAATCAATCAAAGTAAAAAAGTACAAATGCCAAAGTGTTCAATTATGACAATAATAAGTGTACAGACAAAAAACCAGATAAACTCAGTAGAGAGTCTGATACAAAATCATGATAAAGATGTTTCTTGAGTCAACTTTTTCCCTTGATTCAAATCCATTTATCCAATTTGACTTGTTCCGAGTTTTAAAGTCAAACTTTTCCCAAAGAGACAAGGTAAAGCAAGAAAAAAATCATCAATCTTGAATCAAGAGGAGAGACCAGGTAAGAAAAGTACAGTCTCTTTTTTTTATTTAACACAAAATTTCAACCTTTTTTCTTCTTCTTCTTCTCAACATTCAGTTTGAAAAGGTATCAACATTTGTTTGAGTCAACTAAAAAACCATATATAATATATGTATATGAAGGATACACCTGAGTTGTTACAGAAAAGGAAAGAAGAGCATTAATAAGAGGATGATCATGATGATGATCAGAGGAGGGGTGAAAAGAAATGGCTAAATAAGCGTTTCAACAAGCAAAAGAACAAGTGAAGTCACTGTTTTTACTATTATTCAAGGGGATAACAGAGCAAAAAAGCCTCAGGTTTTCACTTGTTTACACTTGAACAACCCCGTAGATCGACCACTGACCAACCCTTCTTTTTTTGTAACTCGGACAACTTCTTGGATGACCTCGCAAATATACCCTAAAGGATTATCCTTTTTTTGTGTATCTTGTAAATTCAGAACAAGAGGAAGGAAAAGGAACATCATTATCATTACTACCAACATTTACAATGAATGGTAGCAATAGTAACAGTAGTAGTCTATCAAAGCCTTTGTAATCATTGGATCAAAGCATCACTTTTCACTGGACAACCCGAAGAAGAAGAAGAAGTAAAAATGCAAAAAATGAGCAAAAGAAAAGACACTTTGACAGGTTGACCAAACCAAGTTAACCTGAAATTACCTATTATACACAGTCTTTGCAATTTTATGAATTCTTGCTCTTTCCATCAACCAGTTTACCAAATAACACAACAGTGAACCAGAAATTTATCAACTTTTTATATTGATCTGTGTTGTATGTTAATATATCTTGCAATTGTGGATAACTTTTCTTTGAAACTCCATTATTGATCATCTTTATTCAGATGATGTATGCAATTAGCAAGTTTTATGTGAACAAAAAAAACATCTTTCACTGAAAAGTAAAATTGAATGGAGAAGCAAAAAAGGTTTGACTCTGGACTTTTCAAGGGCAAAAGTTAACCTGTTAAGGCGTACCTCAATGATTATCAATTTTTTTGTATCATCTTAAGAAAAATTGTTTTCTTTCATTATTTTCCATTCTCTATGAGATAAAGATGAACAAGAAAAAAAAGAGATTCATCAACATTTTCACAAACAATGCAAACAAGCAAAGCTTCTGTGAAAATGCATTAACAGTCAGCAACAAAAAACAGGCTAAAAAAGGTTAAAATGAACAAGCATAAAGTGTTTATCATTAGCAACATTAACGTTATTAACCACAAAACGGTTGACCATTTGGTTAAAGCAACCAAAAGGTATGCAAAAAAAAACAACAGAGATGAAAATAACTATTTCAATGTTGGTGGTTTGATTAACTGGTGATAAATTAATCATTTAAACTTCTCATCTCAGCGAATCAAATATTCAATTATTATTGCAAGGATTGGCTTGAGAAGGAAACAATCAGAGTCTAGTGAAGAGGGAAAAAAGCCTTTATCATTTCACTCTGCACAGGGAATCAAAGGTAATAACAAAATCCGCGGGTTTTTTCAAAATTGAACCATTGAACAGTTTGGGGTTGCCTTTTTTATGATGGTTAAATGGTTAAACAAACGACTCAATTGAACTATCAAGAGTGAGATGATTAAGTAAATATTAGGTTGGCGTGAAAAAAAAGGTGCAAAACTATTTTACCGTTTAAATGTATTCATCAAAATGTATTTACCTTTACTTAATATCTTCACCTTCAGATTCCCTATTCACAGTTTAATACTGCTCGCAATTGCCAATCAACAAAATACCTTCAATTTATATCATTATCATTCTTGATTTTGTTCAACTTTTCTTCCTTTCAAAAGGTAAAATTCATTTTCTTCTTCTTCTGGCTTCTTTAACCTTCTACCTTTAGGTTCAGACTCTATTTATTGGTATTGTTTGATTTGAAATCGTTTTTTGTGTGTGTGTTGCCTTCTTGGTGTGGTTAAATGGTGTGATTGTTGCAGGGTAACAATTTAAGTCCAGGGTAATAGTTGAAAGGATTGAAGGCAGACTTTACCCTTGAAATGCCATTTTCAATGTTAACCCAAAGTAAAGGTAAACAGATTAAACGATTGATTTAAATGGTTACCAAAAAGAGCGGTTAAATTCATTTAACAATCTGCACAATTTACTGTTGGCTAATAATTTAATCAATATGTAAGTTGAAGTGAAAAGAAAAACTAAATTACCATTTAAATGGTCATTTTAAACGTAGCTTTTTTGACATGATAATTTAAGCTGAATTTCAGTTTTTGCTCAACTCAACTCATTTCCTAAATAATCAAATCACTTTGAGTCTCTTCTTCATTCCTTTCAATTCATCTTCATTTTCCTCTTCATTTTCTCTCTCTCTCCTTCAGGTTTATCTTCTTCTTCCTTTCCTTTCCTCTTTTTTCTTCATTTCATACTGATTAATCATGTTGATTAAGAATCAAATTTACAATTTGTGTGTTTCAATAAACACACCGATTCGCATTATTGTTACAAAGTAATGCAAGATGAGGATGAGGATGAAACCTAACATTCAACTCATGTTAACCAACATTTCTCCAACGTTTTGTTGTTGTTTTCCTGTTTTAATGACCGTGTTACGGATGAACTAAACAATTATCTGGAATAACAATATCTATTAATCAAGAAAAGAAACCCCAAAGCAATTCAAGAAATGTATATAAATGTATAAATAAAAAAAACAAAACTGTAAACTGATCTGTGTTTTTACAAAACAACCTTTAAGATGATGTTTATCATTAGGAAAAAAAGGACTCATTTTGGCTTCTTTGACTTTTCAAGCAAATCAACTAAATTTGCAAACTGAAACCTATCAAATTAACAAAAGTCAATTTCATTTCAACATTTAATCAACATTTGTTAACCCTGAATGGACACTGGAAACGTTTTTGATTAATTTTTTCCTCTTCTCTTGTTTGACTTATGCATATGTATTTAAAAATGATTTTGCATTTGTAAATTTTTTTACTTTGAATTTGAAATTGAAATTTTTGTTTCTCTGCTTCTTACCTGAAAAAAGTCAATTGTATCAAAATGTGGTTGAAATATGTCTTGGTCATCATCTGATTTGAGATCGGTAAAGTCAAGATCATTGATGTAAAGTGGCCGGCTCAGTAGAGCGTTGGTTAAATTATCCCAATGAAGATGATCTTGAACCGGATTACCCGGTCCGGTTGACTCTTTGATTCCAGATACTTTATTTGGTTGACGAGGTCCTGCTGGGCTGGGTGACTTCAAGATCCTCTCTTGAATAGTTTTAACCCCAATCGAGGAACCACTGATGGTTTCAACGGTTGACGGGAATCCATTTGAATTTGAAATGGGTGACCAGAGTTTAGGTGATGTTGGTGGTTTAACCAGATTATTGTTATTGTTATTAACAATATTGTTATTGTTTCCATTAATCGTATTATTATTGACAATATTATTTGCGCTATTTTTATTGTTATTCAGTGCCGTCGTTACAGTTAAATCATCATCAATCTCCGAGTTTTTGCCATACATCATGGACAACATCCATGATTTTTTCTCATTGCTCTGAAGATGGAAAGGAAAGAGACGAAAAAAGCAAGGAAACGAAAAATTATTAACATATAAATTGGTTTGTTGCCAAATATTAATGTTTCATTTTTTTGTTTTTTTCTGGTGAAACCAGATTTACTTGATAATCGTTTGATTGTTGTTGTTTTTTCACCAAATGCCCAGCACAAGAAACCGGCAAGATCATAAACCTTTTAATAAAGTATCAATCCAACAGTAATCAAGTCTATCAGCCTACACAATCAACTGTATGGATATTTTTGAGTGTTTCTGGTTGGTGTTTTTTGGTTTACCCTTAGTATTGAATGGTATCAACCGGTAAACAAAACAAAACATTTAAAGATGATAATTGTAATTATAAAAAAGTGCTGATTATTGTGTTTTATTAAGTGTTGTAGTGCGTTTATTATTATAACAACTTGTTAAGTCACGAGAATAAGGTGTTTCTCAATGATTCAATTTTGTAATTAACCTCTTCTATTTCATATTTCCTAATTATCCTCAACAATAAGGTGAATATTACCGGATTTTCAAATTGTGATAATTTGCTAAAGTAGAAATGAATGAAGAAAAAAAAGAGATGAAACTTGCATAATTTTTAAAAATATATATTCAGAAATAATCATTGAATCTTTAAATTATGATCAAGTTTAATTGTAACATGTAATTATATCAATTTATGAAGTAAAATCTAAACCAGTTGGCTATTTATTAAACGATGCTAAATGTGTTCATTGTTTAGATCAACTGTATCTCAACTGATTTTATCAGTCAAATGAATCACCTCTTCCTGGCTGAGCTCAATCAATTGTAACAATTAGAAATTTAAAAAACTAAATTAAAAGTGTGATTGGTTAACCAGATAAAAGCAAAGTGGTAAATTGAAGTGTTCAGGTTAAACATGTGTTGCTGTTAATGGTTAATGTAAATGAAATCTTACCGTTGTACTTAAACCAGAAACTCTGAGGTTGGATCCACCATTTTGATATGAACTATCAGATTGATCATTCCATTGGGAGAACTCCTTGTTTCGTTTATTCAGCTCATCTTCAATTGTTGCTCCACCCAGGCTACCACCAAGTGAGACTGGCCTAGGTTTAGGTTCAACAAGCAACGGTGGAACCAATTTAATTGTTTCAATTAACGGTGACTTTTCCTCATTACTTCCCAGTGAATAGGCAGAGGAAGCTCCTGAAGATGATGTTGAACCATAGGAGTCGGCCGATGAACAGGAACATATTGAAGCTCTTTGACCACGCAAATTGTAATCCGATTGTTGTTTAATCATGGTTGAATTATGGGCATCCCTTTCCCGACGTCGACGTAGACCTGGTGTTATATCATCGGAAATGAGTGTGGTGGTGGTCACTGTTGATCCATTTGACTGTTTCTCTATGGTTGTTGTACCCGCTGAATTGGTGGTCATGGTTGTTGTCGTTGATGTTGTTGAGCCTGGCGATGCGGGTGAACCATTTATTGATGAACCATTGGTTGTTGATCCATTGACCAGATGAGTTGACTCCTTGGGACGACCAGCTTTACGGTTAAACTGTTCAGTCGTTTCTATCACTTTACGCTGCCATGAAGGGACTATTTCTGAGGTTATTTTAGAGGAAGCTTTTGGAGGTAGATTGCCGGTTGAATGGCGGCGACTTTTTCGCCTTTCCTCTTCACTGGTACCCAAATATCCACGAGATCGACTTCGAGGTATTAAATGGCGAGCATCCAAGGGCAACACTTCACCCTCATCTTCACCATCCTCATGACGTAGAACCGCCTCATAAATTTGAAACTGTCTCAATAAATCCATGTCAATTCCTTGCCTGGACATGTAATATTGAATTACCCTTTCCATCCCCTGTTCCTCTAGTGAATCAACCACATCGTAATAAGTATCTTGATCAGAGATACCGGCCAATGTTTGATTAACCAAAGTCATGGCAAAAATCAACAACTCCATATCAGCCCAATTTTTCTCATTTAAAAGGTTAATTATATTGTGCCAAGGTTTAGCTCCTGAATTAGAATTAATTTAAAAAAAGATGTAAATTAGCAAAAAATTAGTTAATTGAGTCATTAGCATTTCAACTCACAATCAATTTTCAAATGTATCATTTTTAAAGAAACAAAATTCACTCAAATGTTCACATTGAATTATTGCTATACTACAGTTGTTTAAATTGGTTTTTTATATTGAAAACCTGAAATATTAACATAATGACCTTTAAATTATATTTATAATTGATTTAAGGTACAAAAATGAAAAACACCAGAAAAAGCCTATCAATATAAACCTTTAAATTTTTTCATCACTGATTCTCATTAATGAACACTTGATAGTGAATTTGATTGCGAGGAAATGATTGTTGTATTTAAAATTAAACATTACCTCGTTCAGAATCAACAATATTTACAGCTTCAAGAAGAAGAAGACAATTGGAATCTTGATATTCAACAAAAACCAATAACAATTTGAGCGCAGTTTTCACAACAAGTCGATACTGTGGAGAGAAAGTTAGACAATTAGTAAATTGCAATTAATAAGCAATGAGAGAGAGCAAACAAATAACGAATTTTCATTGAAACCAGCAAAAAAATTGTGTTTTAATGTTCAATGTAATTGCACATTTCCTTAATGTAATCAATTTAATCTCTTGTTTTATTTTTTTCTCTAGTTTATAAAGCAAACCATTTTTGAGTGTTTGAACATTTTTACCCAACTTTACTTATTAACAATTAGGTAATTATGGGTTACATGCACAGGTAAAAAAACACATTATTTCATCTTAAGATATAATCTTATCAACAAATGGTTCGTTTAACATCGATTGACTGAATCACCTTCACAACAATATATATTGTTTATTAACTTCAGTCAACCATGTGAAAAGGTAAATGTTATTATTGTTGTTGCCCAAAGGCCCTCACATCATCATCTATGTTATTACATTTTTAAGTTTAACATTGAAATAAAGTTTAACAGTCAACATAACCATAGACTAATGGCCTGGTAAACCTTGAACGACGCCCGTGTTAAAGGCCATTTTCAGTCCACTTTGACCAAATTTATCAACTAAGTGTTAGATGAAAGATATTATCAAGATAAATAACTAGAAAATAAATTAACAAGATCATTGGTACAACAAGTGATTGATAATTTCACCAAAATATTGTGAATTTTCTTGATTCATTTCCTTTAACAATTAAACATTTACAATTGTTTACCAGGACAAAACTGGGTAAACAACTCGGGAAAAATTGTTTCAATCAAGTTAAATCTGTTGGAAAATTTGCTTCTAAATTTAAAATTTTCATGTCAATTCACTTGTTTACTTATCAATTGGATAAATTTACAGAAGCAGTTGGGTTTACTGTTAATACCATTTTAAATGATTGTTTGGTTTAATCAACTGAAGCTTCATTGAAATCCTTAACTGGCTTTTCCCGATTGATTTAAATGCAATAATCATGATTGATTTAAATCATATGGTTTCATCAAGACTTTCAGCTTAAGCCAATTGACACTTGCAATTGTGCTAATAACAGGGTTCCATTTACATTGATATAAAATACCCAACAATGCAAACATAATGATGATAGTTGAAACTAACAAATATAATCATCTAAACGGATTAAGGAAGGAAAAAGGCAATCTAATTGTTCTGGTAAAAACTGAATCAATAATAAGCATTAATCAAGATGATAAAAGATGTAAAAACAAAAGCAATTGGATTTAGGTTTAACAATTTAAAGCCACTAACACAATAGCTATACATCAATTTAAGTCCATTAGCAACTATTAATACAAATTCATTGTTAATTCATCTTCTTCATGTAAAAAAATTGTTGAATCAAATTTGGTTAAAGTTGCTCTTTAAATACCATTAAATTGGCGCAATCAAATTGTGATTTACTTTACAAACAGAGCAAAGTAATTATCAATTGAAATGTTAATTGCAAACCATTTGTATCACTGGACTTTATTGCCCTTAAAGACAATTTCAATTGAAGGCAAAAAAATGTGAAACTCACTGATTTGGGTTAACGTAAGTAATGTTCAACAATTAACTTGATCATTTGTAAGCGTCCATCATCATTAATTTAGTCAATATTAATTCATGAAACCATTTCATTAGCCTGAGCATCCAATAATTAGATTAATAGAAAGTTGAGTTTAATAATGAATCCCTTGAATCTACTTTTTGATATCAAATGATGAATAGCAAAGAGTATCAAATTGACTCTCATTGAGTATTCATTTTGCAACCCTTTGCTTAATCAATCAATAAACTGAAATGAAAATCTATTGTTAATTAAGTTAATCAAATAAGACACTTTGAAAAGTGTCAGTCAAAAGTGTGTAATCCTCTTAAGCAAGTAAATGATTTATTAATGATCGCCTTTTGATTAAAAGCTTCAAGTGGTTTATCAAATTATATGTTGATTGTCTTGGAATTAGAAGGGAAATGTTTTAAATATAAAAATGATTAAAAATAAATCAATTTAAACTCAGGCTTTCATGACGATTGTGGAGACAAAAATGAAACTAAAAAAAGTCTCGAGTTTGGATAATTTCAATTTCAATTGGAAACAATTTTCCATGAACAATGTTGAAGCTGACAATTGTACAAAAAAAATGTGGAATCAATCGTTTCTCATGATTTTTCAATATTACCTGATGCTAAATGATTAGTAAATTATGTGAATAAAAGTTGAAAACGTGTTACAACAATTTACCAATGTTGAATTCAATTGTTGATCAAGACATAATATTAAGCTTTGTATAGCTGTAAGGTTATCTAAGGTTATCTTATTTACTTTGATAATGGTGTGAATGATAACACAAATACAGGAGACTGTGATGGTCAAGGGATTGTTGACCTTTAACAGTCCAGTAAAGTTAAACAAGAGTCATGATTGATAACAGTTGCACTAGACAATTGTGGTAATTAAACGACTCGGGAAAGTGATTTAATTGAAACAGTCAATTGGCTAATTACAATGGTTCAATTCATCATTACTGGCCATTCAATGAAATACCAGAAATGGCGAGAAGAAAAAAATTGACGTAAGAAATGCTTTTACTTTCTGTTGCCATCTTTAAACATTAATTGCACCAAAAAAGGTGTTTGTATTGATTGTCATTAACGTAATAATGAAAAGGTTTGATTTGAAAATACCAATGAAGTTCAACTTTTGATGGCGATGAGTTTTTTTTGTTAATCAGGAAAAAGTTCAACTCTTTTCAAACTCTTTTAATTCAATTCTCTGTCCATCAAGTTGTTTCCTTTTCATCTTCATCAATTCAATCATCAGCTTCATCACCATCAATCTCATCCCATTATTTTGCCTCCGTCATCTTTCAATTTTCATCTTTTGACGGTTAATTGAAAAGTCAATTGGGTTGACCAATGTATTTAACCATCAACATTGGCCGATAATTTCAATTGTTCATTCATCTTCTCAATTGCATCGATAAAACAATCTCAAAACATGATAATTCACAGATTAATCAATTACTTTGGCCTGCAATTTCAATCAACATTTTCAATGGTAAACTCATTTTGGAAAATAATTTTTTTCCATTTTCTGATTTTTTAGGAACTTTTTTCTTCTTCTTCTTTTTTTCATTAGTTTCTGTCCAAAGGGAAAGAGGAAAAAAGTCAAATTATTTGGTCAATTAAGTATTGAAATGAAGCTACAATCCCAAGTCTTACTAATGAGTAAATAAAAGTTTCAAGTTGCGTGAAGCTAAAGGTAAAAAATGTTGATTTACTTTGACACTTTTATTTATGCTTTGTACCAAACGGTACTAACATTAATGACAGTGTTTTGTTAATCTGTTAATCTGCTATTCCAGGTAAGATTTATATCATGTAATATAAAATTTAATCATGAAAACAGTGAATCAATTTATATTAACATTTTTCATTTGACTCTCAGATGAACATTTTTCAATGCATAATCCGTATCGATATGTTTCCTAGAAAATCGCGTCTTGATGAAAACTGATAATCTATGGTTAACTATCAAATTCATGAAAATTTCAACACATTACGCTGAGAAATCGAATCAATCTAGAATTTAAATTTCCATCATTATTCTGTTCATGATTTTATCTCGTTTAAACATTGAAAACATCATGTAATAAAGATAATTGTGTGAAACTCAATTTAAAGACATTGATTATTTACTTTAAGCTGCTTCAGTTTTATCAGTTGTGATTAACATTGAACCTCATTATTTGAGAAAATTTTAAGATATTTATTTTAGCTAAATCAGTTCAATAGTCGAAGATTGATTTTTTTCAGAATTTTCTGAAGCAATTAAAATTAGAGTTTGATTTACTGACTTGATGGAATAATTTACTTGAGATTTTCTAGAAAGATTCACTTTTCACATCAGTTGCATATTAACCATTCAATATTGACCATTGCAACTTTCAATTTTCAAAACTGCAACTGAATAACTAACATGGAAAAGCAAGAGAAAGTTGAATCTTTTTCTCAGGTGAATCTTGAAATGAAATTTGAATAAAAAAGGATTAACTAGTTTTGGTGGAGATGAAAAATGAAATCACAAAACGCAATGAAATGGGTTACGCATTGAAATCCTAATAATAGTCAAGTTGATGTTAACACTTTAATGTCAAATTATTTAACTTGCTGTTAGGCAAAAATAAACTGATAAACAAATTTTCAACCAATTTGGATGATAATAAATTCCAATCATGGGCTGAATTTTTGATGAGCAGCCAAAAAGTGTGCAAGTAAATCATTAGTTTACAATTGAATTGTAAACATTGAACAAATTGTGAGAGTCAAATGTTGATCATTTCAAAGAAACTCAAAGGTTGAAGGTTAAAAGCAAGGTTAAAGTAAATACTGATAAATTATCAAAAAAAAAGGTAAAGAAAAGTAAATTGCATTTCAATGTTTGGTGAAGATAATAAGGTTAAGAGCAAAGGTAAATGCAATTTTTGATACTTTTTCTCATCTTATCATTAAGGTGATATAATACATTCAGGATATATATTTATAATAATTGAGGTGAATATTGTTTCTTTGGGAAAGTAATCAACTGGACACAATTCCTATTATTTTCAACTTTCAATGGAAACATTATTATATGGATATAAAAAGTAGACATGAAATTGTTGAGGTAACCAGAAAAGGCTATTACAGAATTCGCATATTAAAGAAATGCACGAAAATTTGACCATTCAAAGGCATTCTTCCATCTCATCATCTTAAGCTGAAAATCACATTTTTTTTATTTTCTTCATCATCATCATTTGTCTTTCTTCCTCTTCCATTGAAGAGTGAAAAAAAACCTTTTATTTGATTATAATGCTAAACGTTTTATTTGGGTTTTGTTGCAAGTTAGTGACTGTGTTATTGGCAAGGTGCTCATAAAGCGGCTTGAGATGGTCAATTGACTTTGGACTACAAAGGTGATTCAAGGTAAACACCCAAGGTATATTATATTCATTATTACAGAATTATTATTATAGCTGGGATTAAATGTTTAAAAAAACATAAAATTTTTTTCATCTTTGCTTCAAATTGCTTTTAACGAGAAAGTAAAGAAATGTTTAAGATGATTATTGTAAACCTGGAAGGGCAAGACAAAAGGATCAAGATGATGATCATGTCGATGATAATGATGAAAGGGTGAAGGAATCAGGGTAAGATGAGAAGAGGATGAGGCGATGATGAGAGTTAACAGTTTTGCTTTTCCAGGTTTACCTTTTAGTAGTTTCTTTAAATTATCATAAACAATAAAGGAACCCATTTGAAATCATGAAATGAATGTAATTAAATTTATTGGTAAATTGAATGAAAATTAGCTGTTGAAATTGGCACGGTTTGCCCAGTGGTCAAGAGAATGGACTAGTTAAGCAAGAAAAAAAAGGTTCAACATGAGTTACAGAAAGAAGAAACTTAATTGTTCTTGAAAACAAAATGCAACTGATGAGGATAATTAGGATGGGTGAGAATGACGATAAGTCAAGATGATCATTTACCAGAGTTAACCAGAAAAAAAGATTCTTGATTCAACTTCAGATAATTTTCCAAATTTCAATGAAAATCTCAATTATTTACCTCAAAAAGCTGTTGAATCGATATTCAGTTTGCTCTCTCAGAAGATGTATTTTTGATAATAAAGATTGAAACTTACTTGAGATGATATTAATGAATAAAGCCATTGAATTGTTTCGTTATGTTCAATAACACCATTCATACCGTCAACATATAACATTACTTGACCTAAAGCTGTTGGTTGATTGTTGGTTGTTGGTTAAATGTTGATCATTAGTTGATAATCCCACGGTTAGAGTTGATTAGAGTTTTTTTGTTTAATGAATAATCAAATTGATTGTAAAAAAATGTAAAATGAAAAGGATTAATTTTGTTCATTAATTGCAATTGCATTCAAATTGAATGATTGAAAAGTTGCAATTTGATGAGTTCAACAGAGGCGATTGATAATTATAAAGGTTAATCATAACTATTAAGCATTTAATTATTTGTTTGCTGTCATTTTGCCCACTAACACTGCAATTAGTTGAAGATAATTATTGTTCTCTGGGTTGATTAACCATTAATATACAACAATTAGTTGATACTCGAGTCAATACTTTTGTCACCCAATTAACAGATGACAAAATTGTTTCCATCGACTTACCTCTTAAAATATAATTTTGATAATTTTGATCATTTTCCGATCCAACTTTAATCAGGCAAGCTAGACCATCGTTTTGTACAAAAGCATGAACCAAATCTTTGTCATCCTGCAAAGGTGCAAAAAAAGGGTTAATCAAAGGAGCAATAACAGAAAAAAGGGTAACAATTGAAATTAGGGTTGGTTTAGTTTTAATCAAATAATGGTCAAGTTGAAAGTTTGCAAAAGATTAGGACTCTGGGTCACTAAGTGTATAAGTTTTGACCATTAATTCCTTGAATAATAAACACTCTTGGCCTGCACTGATTTGCTTTTTTAAGGTTACTAAAGCCTAAGCAATTGTAAGCATTGAACCTAAAAATTATTCACATCATTATTAATATCATTTTTTTTCTTCTTCTTCTTCTTCTTCTTTCATCTTTTCCTAATTTAACTTACAGCTTTGGGTTTTGTTGATCACAGTTAATCAGCCCTTGATTCATAGCTTAAGGGCTTATTCGTGTAACAACCATTAAATAATATAACATAATATATATACATAAATGTTATCAGGTTAAGCATTCCCAGTCCATTGTTATCATATAATTGGCCTCAACTCAATATTATGACGTTTCATTTTCAGATAACAGGCAAAATAAGTACAACTATGTGGTTAAGAGCAAGATGAGGATTAACAGGTAAGGAACAGAGAGTGAGGTATAGAGAGAGAGAAGGAAGAGGAGGAGGAAGGTGATGGTGATGAAGATGAAGAGAGTGAAAAGTGATGAGGAAGAAGATTTGTTTTATTTTGTTTCTCTTTTTTTAATTTGATTCGTAAATTAACCTGTTTCTAGGTTAAACTTTTGTTTGATGCATAACCGTTCAATTTTTTGCTATTTTTTACACTAACATTGAAAAAAAAGGTAAACTCTAAATTGGACTGTTAATTAGTTGCATTTTGCATTGTTTTTGCATTGTAACCAGCAAAAGGTTACATTTGAAAGATGAACAAGAAAAGTTGAAAAAAATTTTCTTTTCTTGAAATGTGAGCAAGTTTTGCATTTGTTGCCTAAACCAACAACAATTAAAGATGTTACAAATGCAAAAATTGCAATTGAATGAAAAGTAAAATATTGATAAATAATTGCAATAGTTGATAATTTTGGATCAAGTTGGCAAAAGGTGATTTGCTTACCTGGAATATTTGTTTAAGTGTAAACAAAGCTCGTCTTAAACTTCCTCCCGATGAATTGAGCAACCTTTCTGTAAAAAGTAAATACATTTTTTTGAGAGAGAAAACAAAAAGTCAAATCAATTGTTAACTTAATTGTTGTACAACAGGCTGTGCAAATAAAGATTAAGAGTCGATGAAATATTTAATTGCAATTGAACAAGGGGTCAGCGAATTGGTTGGGGTCAATTGGATTGATCAACAATTGTCAAGTATGTAAATTGATGCAAGTAAAAATGAAGGTTCATTATCATATCACCTCACAGATAATCATTTGCAAAAAAAATCAAATGTAAAATCAGTTTGATTTCTTTGGGGATAATCATTGGATATAAAAACGAGATTAAATGATGTGTATGTAGATATGTGCCTTGATGGTAACCTGTTGCACCTCAAACTACATAATAATAATAATAGTAATGATAATAGTATTATAATTATTGCATGTTAACGCCATGATTGTTGTAAACAGCCTTAGGGACATTCCAATCTGAATAAGTTTGATGTTACCTTTCATCAGTTGAGTAGATGAACAGTGAAAAGTTAAACTTCTTTTTGTGTTTCTATTCCTTTCATTATTATGTTATCATAATCATTTACGCGCTCTCCTTATTTGATTAATATCCACACACACACACACATGAGAAACACAATCAAGTAACGATAATTAAACAAAAGACAAACCTAATCATCAATATATAAATATATATTTTCAATTCATGAGAAAATTTCACCAAACAAAGAACCTTTTCAGAATTCACCTTTTTTCTTCTTCTCATTTTCATCCACTTTTCACACTCTTCCTTTCACAAGATTTTCATCAACAAGATTAAGATAATGATGGCGATGTAGATGATAATGAAGGGATGAAAAAAAGAAGAAGAAGAAGAAAAATAAGATTCTCTGAGATTCCAAAGATTAATAACGTGATTTTAATCTTAATCGTGCTCTATTCTGTTCATATTGTTTCATCTATCACAAGTTTAGTTTAACCGTTAATAAGATAATATCATCTTCATCAACTTTAATTGATCCCAATGACGATCAAGATGGTTGGTGCAAATAAGTACCGGTTGTACCTTCATCTTCACCCTCACAACATTCAGACACATTAACATGAGATAAATTATCAGGCAACACTACAAAATCTACAAATGTTGCATTTCCGTAATTCAAACACACAAAACAAAAATGGTATCAAAGGTGAGTAAAGTTGCCTATCAAAATTAACCTACACAAATAGATTTGGATGCAATAAGATTGAAATGAATAACAATGATATTAATGATAATAAAGATGAGGAAGAGATTTGGTGAGATCATTTACTCGGCATCATTGAATAACAATTACATTTTTATACCTTTTCTCAGTCCAAAAGTGTCTTATGATTAACAAAGTGTTATTATCGTCATCGGTATCAGCAACAGACAATCATCAAAATGTTATTAACCAGTCAAGGAAAATGCAAATGAATTTGAAAAGTTGAATTAATATTTTTTTACCTTTTTTTAGTTCTTTTCAAAGTTCAAAAAAAATATCAACAATTGATGAGTTGTGTTGATGAAAACGCTGAAAGTGATAAAGTTTGATAGTGATGAGGTTTAATAGCCATGATAATGATGACCATCATGGTAAACAATTTGACCGTAAAAAAAGGTTTTGACGGCGAGGTTAACAAGTTGCCAGTCAAACGGGCACCTTGGACCTTGTTTAACCCTTCCTGATGGACAGTTTGATATCTTTTTACTGTTGCGTGTTTGCATGATTCCCTGTTATCTGGAAGTTGAATTGTTTACTTGATTCATTTTCATCATCAAATATCATTAACCAACAGCTATTGATCAACTTGGACTTTCCGATTCACCTGACACATCAAAATGCTTTTGTTGATGACTTGATGTGAATCTTGGTAAACATTGAAAGGTAACAATTTCAGCCTCATCATTGAAACTTGAATTGATGAAAATTGTCAACAATTTTTTTCCATCTTTTTGCAAACTTCACTTGAATGTTGCAAATGCAATTTTAGATACAAACTGTTTGCTCATTTTGAAACTTATTTCATTGAAATTGAACAAATGAATAAGGATTAGGATAAATCAACTGGATCAGAAGGTAAAATTGGTCGGATTAAGTTTGATGATAACTTTGTTTGCTTTCATTGTTTGCTATATTTGATTATATTCATGTTCACTTGATACAAACGATTATCATGATAATCATCATGATTGGCAATCAAGTTAGACACAAAAATTGAATGATCCATCATCATATGAGAAATAACATTGTTCAGTTGATTGTCAAAGTTTTTATATGCATCATCATCAACATCATCAACAACAAACTTTACATTATTCACAATGCACTATTTGAATGAGGAATCGCCCTTTTACCCTGAAAAAAAGAGAGAGAGAAGATGTTTCAGGTCATCATGAGAAATGAACAAAGACAGCATGAGACTCTCTTTAAGGGTCAGCTTGGAATGGGCGGTTTTTCCTTCAAGAGTCTCATTGTTGACCAATGTTGAAACGCTTTGCATTACAAAGCTTTAATCACAAGTCAAAAAAGTTTAATCTTTTCCTATCATCATTAATATCTCATGTTCATCTTTTTTTTCAAGCTTCATGTGACTTTTGAACATTCATCCTCTTCACCTTCAGCTTCAACTCGCATTTCCAATCCTTGATCTTATTTCAAAAGCCAAGTCACGCTTAGTATTGTTTCCTATCACAAATTGTTCAACAATTTTGTACTTTCTTCTTCTTCTTCTTGTTGCATTGAGTTGATAAAAATCATACACAACACCAAACAATAGTTAACAAATTACGGAAATAGGAAAAACTTGATTGTAGTCAACTAATGATAATGATAGTGAAATACAATTACGCGATTTGATACGTAAATCAACTATCAATTTAGACTAACATTTTGTACAGTTGTTCGGCTTTGATTAAAACCACCGAAACTGCCCATCATCAGACTTTGCCAGTTCGGCCTTTATCACTAATTGAGAACAAAAAGCATCAATTGTTCGTTCAGATCAACGAAAATTGAAAGCATATTAACAAAATCAATCCGATAACATCAATGGTTGGAGGTGAAATTTGTTCAGAAAGTAAAAGAAGAAAAAAAATGAAGTAAAAATGAGTAAACTTGATAGATATTCATATTGACCATTTTGTGCTCAATTTTTTTGCATTCTACTGTTCAACTGGAGCAATCACAATCAACTTTGCATCACAATAATAATTATCCAACAATTGAACAGCACATGAATCTGATTCAGAATCTATGCAACAATAAAGTAAGAGAGAGAGAAAAATTCTGAACTCAAGTTGGCAGATAGTAAAGTCAAAGGTTGACTGATATAAACCAACAAATCAAAGTTGGCACAGTTTTCATTAAACTGTTATATTGTTAATAACTAATTATCAACAGTATTATTTAATAATTAGATCAACAGAGAATGCGAAATCGGTTAATTACTAAAGTTAATCAGGTACAGTAATGAAACGTACAACAATAAAAATCTGTCAACAGATAAAAAGTTAAGAAAAAAATGAATTTAAATAACAAGAATATGCTAATTGGCAATAAATATGCTAAATTAGCAATTAAATTAGATTTTCATTCAAAGAACCTCAAATGCTAAAACAATCAACAATGGCTCAGATTTACTTTTATCAACACTAGTGAAGTTCAATGCGAAGGCTGATCATTTGATAGCAACAATTAAATTAACCTTAAATTGGATATCAGTGCTTAAGAATTCCGAACTTTTGAGATTCAAATATTGGTTTTGATAATCTTTGACTTGAATTTTCTCGCAAGTTCATTGATGTTGAAAATTGTTGTTTCAATCCTTTCTGAGTTTAAAGGCGATAGATTGATTGTGATTGCTTACGACTGAATTAGACAGAGAATCGTTATGTTTCAGAAAATGTGAAATTCCATGAGTCAGATAATTGAAATTCACTCTCAATTTCCTTATTCCTTAATCATTTTGGCAAGAATTTCATCTTTAAGTTGTGATGAAACTTATTGTTGAATAATTGCATATTTTTCACCAAGAACTTCCTGTTGTTCGTCATCTGAGTTACTCACTGATTCAGTAGTTTTTTGGCAAAACTCACAGTCACTTCAACTAACGTAAAATGATTAAATGAAAAATTAACAGTTATGAAGCCAAATGAATTTCAAATGAACCCAAAATCACAATTCAATAACATCATTAACTCGAGGCATTAATTTCACATGCAATAAACCAACGCCTTAAGAATCAATAATTGAAACTAAACATTTTTCAATCAGAAAAAAACATTTAAATTGAATTTTCATTATCAACCCTCATGTTAATTTGCAAATTACCAAATGATGAGATAATTAAAGACTAATGATTGTTTTAATTTTAAGGTTAACTTTTCTCATTGCTATCCTTTTGTTTCAAGCTGCTCTCAATTATTTGCATTTGATTATCGATAAATCTGATGAGTTCATCTGGTCAACAATAATGTTCATGATTACCATAACAGTTACATTTTAAACATGCTTTAAACATTTATAAAGAAATAACCAGATTCTGAAGGAATCAAAAATTAAGCTCAAATGATTAATGTTGCCTGATTACCAATTGATCAGAGTATCGTATATCAAGATTCATCATTTTTTCTTCCTATTCAACGAAAATTGTGTGATTAACTAAATCTGTTATCAGATTATCAAGAATTAACCATTATTTAAAGAGCAATTCATCTTTTCTTGATTCAGCAAATATTAGTCTTCATTTTCAGGGTTATTATCTTATTAGCCGAAAAGTCAGGTCAACATTGTCTTCTTAAGTTACATTCAAGGTTTAAGGTTTTATTTTTTTGTTTCTCGTTTTATTTGCATCATTTAGTCTTTTCAAGTGAAATCATAATCAATAATTCAATGATTATTTCATCAATATTCCTGGTTCAAGATAACATGTGAAACTCATCAATACATTAATACTGAAAAAAAGGTTGAGATTCTTTACCTTTAAACCAGAAGGGAAACTTAATATCAGTTGAATATTGAAATAACCAGTTTCATCGTCACAAATGATAATCACCATCAATAATATAATCTCATGATAATAGACTCATCATCGTTTTTACACAGTCAATCAGTTCCAATGAACGGGTAATGTTGCCCTTTTAAATTGACTTTTCCAGTTTCCATACAAATGTGATTACTTTATAATAATTTTTATATATTGTGTTGTGTTTTTACATGTTAAATTGCGTGTTAACTTAATTATAGTTGTAACTTTATTAACTGGCCTTTGCAAGGTAAGGGCTTAATTGAGTTTAAATTGAACCTCTATGAAGTTACATAGTTAGACAATTGCATTTAAAACGGATAAATTGTTGAAACAATCAAAAATAATCAAATTAACCGATGAACATTTCCAACAACCAAATCTCCATTTAAAGTTGCATAAAGCAAGTTCAATGGGAAAACAGTGAAATGTTTAGCTTGATGTTGGCTAATTAATGGGTAAAAATGTTTACCTTTTTTAGGTTTTATTTTGGTGAAAATGTTCAGGTAACATTTGAAAATTTTGCAGCTTTCATAAAAATTAATGTTTGACTTTTTCACTCAATTTTAACCTAAATTGCAATACAAATCAAGGTGAGAAAAAAAGATGCGGATAATGATGGCTTTTTTATCGTAAACATTTTTAGGCTTTTGTTTTGCCATTTTTGCCTTTTTCTTGCCTTGAGAGGTTATAATCATGATTTATTGTTGATATTGCGTTTAATATTGAATTATCAACATTACCAGTTATTATCAATGTTAATGACGTGTCAACAAGCATGAAACTAAAATCACAATTAAATTGAGTTCACCTTATAAACACACACACAAAAACAAACATTAGGTTTGATTGACAATTTGGGTTCATAGCTTACGGTTAAATATTGATCGGTATATTATGGAATTGAACATCAATTAAGATGATAAGTCAGTGAAAAGTTGATGCGGAATAATAAAGTTGCCTTTAAAGATGAAATTTCACTTTAATTGGGTTAATCTTGAGATGCATTTTTCCCAAGTTTCAACTCGCATCAACAAGTTATTCAACTAGATCTTTGGCCTTTTATCGACCAATTTTAAAGGCAAAAACTGGTTATAAAAAATTGAATAATCAATTTAACCGGGAAAACATTGAGAAGCAAAATCAGGATAAGAAAATTTCTCTTCAATTTTTCTCTTCTAACCTTATCATTAGTAGTTCATCTTGAATCATGATTTTTTCAAGTTAACTGATTGAAATAACCTAAAAGTATCAATAACGGAAGAAAGGATTGATGGCTAAACAGTGATTATTGGTGAATGTTGTAAAAATAAATATTATCAATCGACTATCACTTTCATGAAGAAAAATGATATTTTCTGAATAAAAATGTTTCAAAACCTACAAATGAATAAGTTTACTTGTATTTGAAAGTTTATAAAATAGCTTTTAAATCCAAACAGATAACCCATTATTTACTGATGTATCAGGTATTATTGAGGCACAAGGATGAAGGTTACCTGGTTAAGTGATGATAATGAGAATAGCAAAAGGTATAAATGATAAAAGTAACCTAATAACTTCACTTTCATTTTGTTTCAACAGAAATTTTTCTTTGCTTCTTCCTTGTTAATTCAATGTTAGACTTTACAGATTTCAATTGCAATTAAATAATCCGTTGAATCTCATCTCGATTTGTAGTTTTTGATTGATAACAATTGTAAGAAGTAAACGAATGGAAAACTTACCGATAATTGAGTGAACTCGAACAGATAATCGGGTTCGAAGGATAATTGCATTTTTACGACTGCAAAATAATCCAAGAGACAAAATGATTAACATTTAATAAAACAATTTAAGGTGAAATACTTACTTGTCTCTGAATCCTTCAAAGTCTTCAGATTGTTCACTAATTGTCAGTTCAGGATCAAGATAAGGTCCATAGCAATCAGATTCAATGGCATTATCATTTCCTTGATGTTTATACAATTGCAAGGAACAATCATCAAGCTGAAAAAAATGAGAAAATTGAGAAAAAAAAGTTAATTTAAAGATTCAATTTTAGGTGACAAAAGACAATTGGAAAAATTTAAATTTTCAATTTCATTGCAAATTCATTTACTGAGAGCGCTTTACTCATAACCATTAATCATAAAGTTGATTGGGTTTAATCACGATTCAGGGAATCAGGATAACTCTTGTAATTAGTTTTAAATTTTGCTTTATCCTAATTAACCGGAAGTTTAACATCAATTCTGTGATTTGTTGCTCTTTTTTATTCAAGGTTAATCAAGTTATTTAAGCAAACAATTGTTCAATGTTATTGCATTCAATTAACTTTTTTTTCATCCATTTTTTTCACCGTCTCATGAAAATCATCATGTTTTCCATCCACAAGAAAACAATTGAATCAACAGTGAAATGATCAGTTAACATATCTAACAGTCTTGGTCTTGTTTTACAATTTTGTTTGATTCACCTCAATGATCAGATCTAATTGGCGGTAAATAACGTGAAGGAAAAAAAAGGTTTCAAGTGTAATTCAAATTGCTGAGAAAATTGAGTAACATGATATTGATTCATTGGATTTGGTTACAAGCAAGTGAAATTGATTAAAACTTCCGGCTATTGGAAATGACACTAAAACATGATATAAGCGCTTTCAATTTTTTTGATTCATTTTTAATCATGATTATATTACCATGAACAAGAGACAAAGAGTAAAAAATGTAAGATTGTAAATGGATGAAAAATCATCACTATTCAAGTACAAAGACTATTCAATGTTGACATCCATTGAATAATATTGAAATGGGAATAATAAAGGAAACTCCGGCAATACCGGCAACAATGATAACAATTTACACACCCAAGACAAAACGATAATAACAATAATTGTTGAAATAATTGTCATTGATGATTGAATTGAACATATCTCAAGTAACCATTTATTGAATAATTTTTCATCACAAAAAAATGAATTTTGCCCTTCAAAGGTACTTAACAAAAGTTGTTAAAACGGTAAAATTGTTTAAAAGCTTAAACCTGTAAACGTTATCGTAATGTTCAGCAACAAGGAATGCAAAAAGCAGCAAAACTACGTAATTATCGACTAAATTAAGGTGCGTCCTTGATTGAGACTGAATTACATGATTAAAACAAGATGAGAAACTCAATGAAAATACAATGAAAATTCAATGTAACTCAACAGGTGAGATTCGGTAAAGTTCAACATGAAGCTACCGAAGTTTTGCCGTTCAAATAATTTACCAAAAACTTGCTGTTTCTCAAGTATTCAGTATCATTAACTTGGTCCATCTGTTTAGACACAATTTTGTTGTTCGTTTTCATGATTAAATGTTGAGATTGAAAGTTATGAACCTTATTTTTACCTTTTCATTTCCTTGCGTGAGTTTATTCAAATAAATGTATTTTTATATGATTAAAGATATTATTTATTAACCTCTCTTGATGCATCCCAATGACCACAAGAGTTAAGTTAATCTAAATGTTGAAATAATTAAAACAATTTCTGGTGTTTCAATGATTAAACAAGTTAACAGTTGACAATTAACAAGTCTAACTACTATTTTCATAGTTAAATGGTAGGTTTTATATTTGTTAATTAAAGTGAACATTTGGTTGACTTTAACTACAAATATATATAAAAGGCTTTTTGGGTTTTGCTTATTCTGGTCATTGTTAGCGTAAATAATAATCACACTAATGATTATAATCAGACAGAAAAGTGGACAAAAATGTGTGGATAGCACACATTTTGATCATGATGACCATCAGATTAAAATGATCATCATGTTGGATAATGACGGATTTCATGATTATAATGGTGATGAATAAGGAAACAAAATTGTTTAACCAAGAAATGGTTGCAAGTTGAAAAAAGGGTAAAAATAATTGTATCAAAAATGATTATTTTAATAAGTTTAAATTGCTCTTGTTTAAACGTTTAATGCTTCTTATGATTTGAGAAAATAATTGTTCAAGGTAACCAGTTTTTGATGGTTTACAATTGACTCTGTTGATCAACTAAATTGTTGACAGTTGAGTCGATCAAGTTAACCAAAATTAAACTAACAATTGACTGTCAAATGATTAACAAAAAAGCTTTGAATGTGAAAATGAAAAGTTGAATTCAAAGTTGAAACTAATTTTAGTCTGAAAAAACCTGAATTTAACTGTTGACAAATTGAAACCAGAAATAAGTCAATATCTTAATGGGCATGGAAAGGCATATTTAACGATAAAATTGAATAATTTCAAGCTGAAAATTCTTCCATTTCATGTTACCATCATCTAAGTTTATCTGAAATGAAACTTGTGCAACGATGATACAAATGATGATAAATAAATCAATAAGTTTCATTAATAAAAGGTAAAGCTTGATTCGTGATTGTATCAAGTAACTTGCAAATATATCACAAAAAATGAGGTGTATAATATCATGAAATTACGTTTCAATATTGAAATGAAGTCAAAGAAAAAGGGAAAATTTGTTGAATGATGGAAAGTTGAGAAAACTGAAAACTCATTGATAACAAAAGACAATCAAAAAAAAGTAAAACATTGAAAGACACACTTTCAGGATGAAAATTGAAAGGGACCATGAAATATGGAAAACAAAAAATTCAAATTGAAATGTTTCACATGAAAGACGATGAAGAGATGGAGGAAAAAAAGGTTTCCAGTTGAACAATACTTGGAAAAGTTGATAGAAACAAAAAGTTCATTTATTAAATGTTTGAATGTATACATTGATAAATAATGACATCAGATGATGACGATATCGATGATAATATAAAATGATAACATCATTAACAATAAACATAAAGTAGCTAAATATATGGAAAAAGTTATCAGTTTTAAACATTAATTCGGGTTAACATTGTTTTCGGGAAACTTTCTCATTCTTCAGTTAAATGTTCAGTATTGTATTTCATTCCTGAAATTGGCTCAAATTTTGGCCATTTAATTTTAACTCTTTCACTTTTCAATCAAACTCTCTCATCTATTATCAAGATAAATTGAAATGGCAACTTTTTGCTGGTTAGACCTTCAACTCAATGTTCAAACCCAACTTTTGTGTTTGCTTTCTGGCCTTTATGCATTGATATTATTAAGTTGATCATTTTTTTGACTAATTTTTGGTTAACCACTTTGATTACACATTCCGATTGTAAACTAAACCAACAGTAATTTGATGGAAAATTTGGATGATTAAAAGAAGGTAAAAATTGGTTAGTCTCGCCCAACAATTTAGTTTTCAATAAGAAAAAATGAAAGCGTTAATTTGACTTCCATTTGGCTGAATTTGAGATTTACCTTGAATTTTTAACCATAAAGTATGAAAGGTTAGAAAAATTGTTTCAATTTTTGAGCATCAAATGGTGAAGTTCAATTGATTGCAGACTGGTTGGAATGAAAGCAAGAAATAATTGTTGCAATAATTGATGTTGCTGTTGATCGTCAACATGATGGGTTAATTTGAATCAACTTTATGAATGGTTAAATGTGAAAGCGAAAGTTTCTGTCGGCAGCAATTTACAGTTGCGCTTTTTTCATTGTCTAAGTGAACGTGTTTTGGTGTGTTAAACATTTAAACACATCAATTGAAACATCGATTAGTTGAATTTAGTACAGTGTTAACCTTGAAAGTGAGACAGTTTTAGACAATAATTATTCTTAATTGTGATGTTACATAATAAGGATTGTTGCATTGCGAAAAAAAGGAACCTAAAAGCAAGTGTGAAACACAATGGTTAATAATTGAAAGTTACATGTGAAAATGTTAGCAAACTGAATCAACAACAATGAGAAAAGAGAAATTAATGTTTACAATTAACACACTGCGAAACAGACTAACGTGTAAATTGAATTGACTTGATTTAAATTGTAATTTGATCAAACAAAAAGACGAGATTATAAATCAAATATCAATGAGTAATTTTCAATCGCTGGTTTCCTCGTAACGCTATTACTATGGAAAGTAGGATTCTAGATGACAAAATAACCAGAAAAACGGCTGACATTGGGTTTACTAAATGGTAAATAATGGGATAATAATCAAGGTGAATTGATTGTTGTCAATTGGGATGTGTAAATTATTCAAACTATCTTTCCGTTAATCGGTTGAAATTGTTATTCTTAAGAACTCTTTGATTAAGTGGTTCTAAAAAGTCTGTTACTCTAACAACTTTAGATTAGCTACTCTGGAAAGGGAATGATTGTTTGGGGTTAATTGAAATTGTTAACTGATTACTTACTCTGTGAGGTGCTTGAAGAAGACGGTGTACTCCAGCAATTTGATTAACTAATGGTATATTTACATTAAATGAGTGTAATGGAGGTCTTGGTGGCTCAGGGAAATTAGTTGAGGCTCTAAAGGGATCAATATCGTTTAGATATTGAACCCTACAAGTCAATGTTTGTGTCATCCTATCCATTTTAACGTTAAACATCACTTACAAAGGAACATGCATAAAGATTGATGAAAATGATGGTGATGATTAAGATGATGATGATTATGAAGTATGTTGATAAATTATTAGTAGATTTAATAACCTTAAATTGTCAAATATCAGGTTAACACACAAATGATTGTAATCCGAAATGCGTTAATAATAAAAAGAAGGAAAACACACAATAACAATAATCAGCTCAATGTGTCACAAGTGAAGAACAAAATATCCGTAAATTTGTTGTAAAACATAGTCTTTTAGTTAAAGGATTTGATGATGGGAAAAACAAAGGTAAACAAAAATATGTAACATGGAAGAGTAAAAGACTAGAAAGACTAAAGTAAGGCAATAATAGAGATTTGTGTAAAGGTATTTTGTTGATGGGAAACACGAGTTTTCACCTTTTTTCTTTGTAAGAAATGCAAGATATATTTATAATATAATAAAAAAAGGACCAAACTATGAGTCAAGTTGTTCTCTTCCCTTACAACAACTATTTGACCCTTCAAAACTAGTATCAAGAATTTTGGATGAAAAGGAGCCAAGAGTAAGAGAGAGACAGAATGAGAGAAAGAGAGAGATAAACAGATAGAGGGAGGTTGAATGGGGGAGAGAATGAGGAGAGCAAATAACCGGTTAAGAGGAGCAAAGACTGGTCAGAGAGGAAAGAAGATATGTATTGGGTTAGAGATTGGATTTGATAGAGAGAAATAGAAGTTTTAAAATGAGAAGAGAAAAAAAAATGAAAGAGAGAAATGGAAGAAAAAGAAAGAGAGGAAGATAAGAGGAAGACAAGAGGAAGAGAGGTGAAAGAGAGAGAGAAATGGTTGAAACAAGTTGAAAGATAGAAGCCACTAGGTAACTTTATCATCTCGTTGGCTGCTAGAAACCAAAATGGCTGAGTTGTTACCCCCAAGTCACCAGTCACCATTTATAAGACATTGGCATTTTTAAGGCATTTTTCGAGGAAAGACAGATGTTTAGACTCACCATTTGTCTCTCTCTCTCTCTCCTTAGTCAGGTGTTATTAGAGGAGTTGAGTGAGTTTATTGAAAGATGATAAATAAGATGATGGATATGAATTCACAGATGAAAATAAAGTGCCAAGTTACAAAATCGGTTAAACTTAACGTTATGAGAAAGAGTTTACTTTTGTTTTCTGGTTTTGCCTTTTCTTACTGTTACCGGCAAGGGTCAGAGACATTTGCTTTTAACCTATTGGTTAATTGTTCACAGTCGAGACATCAAGTCTCATTGTTATGGCAACCCTAATCAGTCTTTCAATCTTTTTCTCATTCCTTTTTTTTATATAACATTTTTCATATTCATTTTTGTTGAAAATCACTTCTTTTTTCATTCACCTCACAAATCAGCCTTTAACCCGAAATCAATTTTTGATCAGAAAATCAGTTTTTTTCTTCTAAATTTTCTCTCTCTTTTTGTGTTCACAATTTTCTGTATTTCAATTTCTCATAATTCACTTTCACCATCATTTATTCAAACGGCAAAAGGCTGTTAAGAGGACTTGAAATCAATTGGATTCAATCAAATTACCCAGCCAAATTACGTTTCATTTTTAAATATGTTTAGTTACTGTCTTTCATCTTCTTATTGTGATCAATTTGTGTAGTCAAAGTATTTTTATATTTTATTGATTGTGACCATCATTTTCATCATTTTCATTATCTTCATTTTTTCTTGTTTTCTATTACATACCAATAATAGCATAAACATGTTACGATTTGATTTATTCTGAAAACGATGATGATGATGATGAAGATGATGATGATTAAGAATCAAGTAATCAAGTTCCAAGTTGGCTTAATCTCACACAATTTGTTGCCAAATTTGTTGATCTTTTTGTTATTGTTGGTACCATTGTTGTTGCTGCCTGATTGTTGATTACTGTGTTGATCGTTGCTGTTGTTCACAATCAACCAAGCAAACTATATTTGTTGTTTGCTTCATCAATTAATTAAGCTTCTCCTTTTTGATCAACAATTCTTGAATTTGGTAACTTTAAGAATGGACTTTAAATCAGCTACGGTCTCTTTACTTTCTCTTTCACCATCTTCAGTCTCATCATTCTGATCTTCTTCTTCTTCTTCACCATCCTGCTCATCATGATTCTCACCTTTACCATCAGACCTTCGTCATCACCGTCTTAACCAATTATGTAACTTAAAATGTAATCAAGAAAATCAGTGAAACGAGAAGCCAAAAACTCAAAGATTTCCAATCCAAACCCAATTCCAAACTCTTTTTCATCATTATCATCATCCTCATTCATCCATTTCCACTATCAACTCTACCAATGGGTCCAACACATGAAATACAACTTTCTCAACATTCAAACTCGACTCATCTCTCATACCAAACCATCAACCAGATAAAATGTTGTTAATCAACGTAAAAAAAATGACAAAACGGAGAAACCCTAATTTAATAAATAATAATAATTATGTTAAGATGATTACAATGATTACCATCATCATCAGTCACCCATAACCAAGACAACTTTCACCTTCAACATAAAGGCAAACCCAAACTTAAACAACGGCTGAAAAAAAAATGTCAATCAGTTTCAACTTGTTTCTCTCTTCCTCTCTCTCCCTCTGTCTATCTCTTTCTGAGGATGATAACAAGAGACTGAACAATTTCAATTGATAACTTGCATGTACATTGGCAAGTCAACAGTTGAAAGTAATAACACTGGACCTGGCAATTAAGGAAAGTCTCTTTTTTTTCATCATCACCATTATCCTTTAATGATAACTTATCATTCATCTGTTTGGTGTTTGTCCAACTCCTAACCAGAAGAAGAAGAAGAAGAAAGAAGAAGATTCAAGATTTTGGAATCAGAGAAAAGTTTGATGTTAATCTTAAATCCCAATGATGTAGATGATGATGATGATGATGGTGATCAAAGGTAACCCTGAAAACAACCTTTTCACAGTCTAAAGAAGCTGTAGAATCACAAAATAACTTGAAAACTTCTTGAAGCGTTGATGATAATAATGAAAGGTAAATCTAAAGGATGAAGCCAGACAAAACCATATAACCACATAACCGTGTAACCCACCAATCTTCATTCCTTCTTCATTCTTTTATCGCCATTTTTCTTCTCCATTCCTTTCCTTTCTTCCTCTCTTTCACTCTCAACTTAATCATTATTATCACCATCTCTTCATCTTCACAATCCATTCCCTTGTATATCTCATCATAATCATCTTTCACCTTTCCTTGGTTGGATAAAACTGGCAAAACACTGACCCAATATAATGAAAGCGTGAAATACAGGTTAAAATATATATAATCGTATGATAATCTTGATAGTGATAACGTTTTATGTTAAAGCCTTCGTTTTATTTTCGGTTATCTGAACAAGTGAAAGTTAATCAGCATTGATTCATCATTTCAATTCATTTAACTAAAGCTTCTTCCATATTCAGCCATTTCCCTTCCCTGCTTTACAAAACACTTTTAATTATCATTTTCATCAACTTTCAATTATCCATCAAATCTGTTGTAACAATTGACTAAAATACAATCTCAAAATTGTGTTCACAATTTGATTCAATATTCAATATTGAATCAATCAATTCAAATGTCCATCTAATTTTGTCTTTACATTCATTGTGTTCCCATTTTTTTAGGTTCACAATTTGTAATGTAAATCCATCTTTCGGTTAATTGTCCTGTTAAATGCTGTATACATCCTTATCGTTATTAATAATTAACTAATATGATCAATGATTATATTGAACATATACTGTAATTTGAATGACTTATTGTTAAACTGTACTCAATATTTTATACTCTACATTTTACTCTTTACTGTCTTGTCTTGTTATTAGTAAAATATTATATTAACCCATTTAGTGAATTGATAAATCACCAATTGGTTCAACAATAATCATCAACTGATTGGCTATTTATTGAAAAATAGTAATAAATCTTACTCACCTTCATTTTTTCCTCGATAAAATTGTTGCCCATTTAGTTAACAAAACCAATTGGCAGGATTAATCAATTGAAATACCGGTTAACATACAATAACAAATGAAAACAATTTTACTATCCAATAATGTTAAACTGTCCGTTGTCCGATGAAACTAATTGAGCATTTATTGTTATTATTATTATTTAATAGGTAAGGCAAATTGGATAATCCAAGTTGAAGACACAGTTTTCATCAGTAAGTCTAATCTTGTTATGATGATGGCGAAGCAGTTGCTAGATTTTCCAGAGAGACGAGAGCAAAATGTTTTGGCAATGTTAAGGAAGCAGAAAAAAATGAAAATCTGATCAGAGGAAAGATGCGGAGGAAGATGGCGAAAATGTTGGTGATCTTATTTTTAGGAGTGAGGAAGTTGATAACTTGCAATATCCAGTCTATTATACACTCGTAATCTTGGCCAACATCCAAATTACAATATTGTAATGAAAGCTTCAACAGTTTAACTTTAATCAAATAGACTTGTTGAATACAATTATTTTGTCTCAAAAAATGGAAACACTCCAAATCAGTTGATCGATAAAACAGGCAAAATTTAAGGTACCATTTCTCGTAAATTTTTTATCATATTTTTTCTCTTTTTTTCAGAATTATGAGGAAGTTTCTCTGTGACCAACAATCAGGTTTAGCCTTCAGTAATTAAAGTGTTCAATCGCACAATTAATCAGCATTAAGGATAAAGTATGTCTTGAAATTGATGTTCTGTACTTTTGTTTTTCTCTCAATTTTATCATGAAAACAACTTTCATTCAAGAATATTTTATTTTCCTCATTTTCTTTAGGCTTTGGATTGAATTAAACACACGCATTTCGCATCGAAAAATGCACCGACTAACAGGTAAACCTTGTTTTGACCGATTTTGTAGCTTTCCAGGAAGACTCGAAAATGTTCAATGACTCGGAGAATGAGATTATAAATGAGACCAGTACATATTGAGAAGAGACCCATCAACAGAATCAAATATCGTCCACCAAAGAATGTTTTGAATATTTCGTTACCCTTAGCCTGGGCTGCAATCGATTGCTCATTTAGACGCATCCAAAGAGCTTTTTTCGCTATGAATTTCGGTCTTTTCAATGAGAAATTTCTAAAAATTACATTTTCTATTATTTATTGCATAGATTTTTTTGGAGGCATTGTCGGTTGTTTATTTTGAGGATGAATTTTCTGACTGATGAAATTAATTAATCTCTATTTGATCAAAGGTTAGGTAAGATTTTCTGAAGTTTCCAGTTTATTTTGAAACTTATTTGATAATTTTACGTCAATTTTATGACTCAAATTTACGCAATTGTTTTGGATGTGATCTTGTGACTGTGTCATCAACTTGATCCAATATCACTTCACATTGCATTATGTAAGGTAAGTTTTCGTGAGCTTCCATAGTTTAAAGGTAAAACTTTGACGATCATTTGAAGATGAACAAGTGATGATGACGGTACTGATGGCATGATCGTGGAGTTGAAAGTGAATAAACAATCTTCAGTTTTCCCTCATTTGACGCTTCATCGAGATGAATGTTTTTTCAACTTTTACGAGCAATTTGAATGGGAAAATAAGGATTTCATGAGTAACTCTTGAAGGAAAATTGTGTTCTAATTTTACTGATGACTTAAGAAGTTAATGCGTCAGTTGAAATATTTATAATATTTAAGTGCGATCATTTCTCTGAAAATATTAATCAAAGAAGAAATCAATTTTTAGACAATAAAATATTGATTATTGATGGCTAAACGTTAACAAATGAAAGTCATCAAATGAAATCAAACAGTTAAACTTTTATATTCATTCAGGTTAGAGTTGCTTTAAGGCGCCAACTTATGGTTATATTGACTTTTGTGCTGCCCTCCATTGGCTATGAATCAAGCCATTTAACCAGTTTTTTAACTTCGATTCACAAGTCGTTAACTTTTGTTTAAAGAGTCATAGACTTATCAGTCAGCTGCTCTTGTTTTGGATCATCGTCCTGTTGGAAGCAGGAAGAGCTATGTATTCAGATTTTCTTGCAAAAATTTTAATTTACGCTTGTGTGTTGATTGTACGATAGATAATGTTAATTTCAGCAATTTTGCACAATTACAGAGTCACACTGAATCATTTGACTGTTTGACGTTTTTTGATTGTTTTATGGTAGCCAAAAACTTGTTCATAGTCAGATGTCACTTTCAATACGCTATTTTTGAATCTTCAGTTCTTTGCCTCGAGGATCGAACATCACGTTTTTTTCAATGAAAACCCAGTAAAGAGATGGCAAGATCGGCGATCTTCAATCTCGATCTGCGGATCGAAAAATACTCAAAGATCGAGCACAAGATCGATGAGTAAAACCATGAGTAGGCCTATCTTTTAAACATTGCCTTTAATGACACAACCTTTTAATGTTTCTCTAATTGCTCTGTTTTTTGCATTTGACCCACTAGATCCAGACGAGGAGTGATTACCACCACTACTTCCCACCCCACCACCATGATGTGAGGTATGCTCTATAAATTTACTAACTCTTGGTTCCCTTTCCTCTGAATGCTCTCTAACAGCACACATTTTAATTTGTCTTAATAACATTTCTTTTCTTTTTCGATCTTTTGCTCATTTAGAATGCTTCTTTCTTTCATCTTTATTCCAATAACGACCCACTTTTAATTCGGACATTGCATCGTCATCAGTTGTTAATCCTAGCCGTTCCTGGTTAATAATTTGTGCCTGTTCTTTCAATATCGGATTTCTAATGGGTTTGCAAGTTATATATCTGGTTCCATCTGGACGCTTTTTCACCTTCCATTCCAAATTTACATTGTTTGCATTAGGGGTTGTGGGTAATCCACTTTTGATCGATTCTTTCTTCTCTGATGGATGCATTTCTGGTAATAAATCAGCTCCTGGTTTAGCTGCTGGTAGTTTTGAGACTGGCTTTGAATTTACTTCTGGTGGACTTGATTTAGGTTTGAAAACATTTTTTGGTGGTTGAGTAGGTGTTGAAACTATCTCGGTTGATGCATAATGACAATTTTTATCGTAAACTGCTCCATTGGCTCCAGTTTTCCCATCATTCCCATCATCACTGCCATCTAGGTAAACTAAAGGGGAGAACCAGGTAAAAAGAAGGGGGTCAAACGAACTTATGCCGACCAAACGATAGCAAGAGTTTCAATCAATTGTGTACCAAAATGAAAATTAGATTAAGTGAAATACCTTCGCAAGAAAAAATTGATATAATTAATGAATGTGATTCAGTTGATAGAATTATTGCCTGTCTCTGGTGCACCTCTCTACCCTTACTACTACTCTGGCTTCAGCCGAAAGTGATTTGGCTGAATGAGATGAGTGAGTTTATGCATTGTTATCATAGGTTTTTGAAGTGAATCACTCTCAGTATCAGCCTAACAATTTCATAAAATTGTGCTTTTCCTTGCTATCGAGTAAACAACATGTTTCTCAACGTAAACCCAACTTTATTAAACATTTTTTTCGGTTGTTTAACTGTTTGGTTGATCAAATATTTATTCAACTTTATTTATCGACTTAAAAAACTTCCTCCTGGTCCATGGGGCTTACCTTTTGTTGGTTACTTGCCCTTCTTAAAGAAAGATGCGTATATTCAAATTACTGAATTGGGTAAAAAGTATGGACCAGTATTCAGCTTTAAGTGTGGTCAGTTTGATGTTGTTGTGATAAACGATGCGCTAGCCATTGAAGAAGCTTTTAGGAATGATCATTTATTGGCTCGTCCGAATACAAGCTTTATTCCTGGATTCAAACGTGATCAGTCATTAGTTGAAATGTCCGGTGAACCTTGGAAACAACAGAGACGAGTTGCTCTAACAATACTTCGGAAAGTTGGTTTCGGGAAAAAAACGCTTGAAGACAAAGTGAAGCAAGAGATTAATATGTTCATTGACTCTCTAAAATCAGCGAATGGTGCAGAAGTTGATTTCGGTGAAGTGATTAAATTGAGTGTTGCGAATAATATATCAATCCTTTTGTTCGGACATCGTTTTGAATATGATGACCCGCTGGCAAGTGAAATGTGTCGGAGTGTGAAGCATCTTGTCGAAAATGCCTCATACTTCAGTAAATTCGTATTTATGCCCTCGATAACTTTTTTGGTTTCCCTGGCTTCTCAATTCAGCTCTGAACTCAATAAGATCACAAGCAGCTCGGAAGAGCTAGAAAAGAAAGTCACAATAGAAGTTGGTAAACATAGGGAAAAGAAAGCAACTCATGAAATTGAAGATTATATCGATGGATTCTTGGAAGAAATGGATAAACAAAAAGATCCCGACTCAAGTTTCAATATGAACACATTGCGGCGAAATACTGCTGATTTTTACGCAGCCGGTGCCGATACTACAACACTGGTATTGAACTTTATCATGTTATATTTAATCACTTATCCTGAATATCAACAGAAAATACGAGATGAAATTAAGCAAACTATTGGATTCGAGCGTCAACCTGATTATGCAGACAGAAATTCAATGCATTTAACAATGGCATTCGTTTATGAATCTCTACGAATGTCAACAATCGCTCCTCTCAACGTCCATAGACGCGCTTCTCAAGACACACAAGTAATGAACTATTCTATACCTAAAGATGCAATAGTTATTTTCAACTTTTGGGCTGTTCATCGTGATCCAAAGTTGTGGAATGATCCTTATTCATTTAAACCAGAAAGATTCCTCAATGAAGATGGGACATTAGTTGCCAAACAACCAAATTTAATGTCATTTAGTGGTGGCAAAAGGATGTGTCCAGGTGCAAATTTGGCTCTAATGGAACTGTTTCTTTATTTGGTTTCAATTCTACAAAATTTTCGAGTTTCAATTCCAGAAGGATATGAAATATCTAACGAAGTGAAATATGCCCTAAATAGAATGGTGAAAAAAACGATGAAAGTTCATTTTCGCGATTGGAAAGATAATTAGCAAATTACATCAGCCTCAGTTTTGGGCTGTTAATATGATAGCGTTTAATGCTGTTGTTACTGTACATTAATAAAGAGTAAAGCAATCATGATAATTATGTGAGAAAAGAATGAGTATTTTATGAGTGGACAAGCAAAAGTGGTAAACACATGAAAGTATCAATTTCTACTCCTGCTTTGTACTTCTGCATCATAAAGGGTTTCAAGGTTTATTTCTGACAAAATTATCTGAAGATGAAGATAAAAATTGTATAACATGACGATAAAGATGAATCAGTCGATTGAATTGGCTCTTCTATTTTGATTAACCTTTAATTTTGTGTTTTATCTTTATCTTGAGATAAATTTGTCAGAAATAATCCCTTAACACCCTTTTCATAATTATATCATTTGCATCCTTATCCAGAAAAATTGACATTGACTCCTATTAATTTGATTGCATTGTTCAACTGTTGATGAAGCGGAGTACTCGACGTTTTATTTGCAATTGAACATGTGATGGAAAAGTGATGCAAAAAGCTAATCTTGCTATTAAGAGTATCGATAAATTGTTATAAGTTTCGTTATCTCTTTCTGGTTAATCTGGTTTCAGGTTATTATGTACAATTTAGTGAACTATTCAGTTCGATTTTTATTGCAAGAAATCCGTGTGATTTATGCGCTTTCGCATATATGAATGAAGATATAAAATATATCCACGGAAATGCATATAAATCCATATAATGTATCACTTATCTTGATTGACTATTGAGTATGGGTTCTTATAGTCTGTTGATTGTATCATGGATAATGTTAATTTCAGCAATTTTGCACAATTACAGAGTCACACTGAATAATTTGACTGTTTGACGTTTTTTGATTGTTTTATGGTAGCCAAAAACTTGTTAATAGTCAGATGTCACTTTCAATAAGCTATTTTTGAATCTTCAATTCTTTGCCTCGAGGAACGAACATTTGGTTATAGTCACTATTTTGTTGAGATGTTAATGTCCCAAAGCTCTCATCGAAGTGCTTAGAGTCTTTTTTCATTTCAAATATGATAAATGGCAAATACGCTTGTGTATATCGGTGTTCAATGGTAAATTATTTTCGACTCGTTTTTTGACCATTTTCACTTAAAATGTTGAACAATATCAACATCAATTGAAAGAGATCGAAAAGGCTTGAAAATTTTTTAATAGCTTTCAGTTAAAAGTTGCTTTTTACAAGTGAGTAACAAACCTTCTTTATAATGGACCCTTCTTACGTATTTTAAATCTAATCATTCCTTCTCTTTTGATACAGAGGCTTGTTCACACTTCAAGATTCCTGTCTGCATATTTCATGTCAAAAGTTAACCCATTTTATTTGTCTTCTTACATTTGAAACAACCTTTATCCAATTCTGGTATCAATTGCTCTCGAGTAAAACAAGATAGCATAAAAAATATCTATTCAATGCAAGACACCTTGAACCGTGTTAATTAATCTACTATTGATTCTGATTGTTTTTTCAATAAATCATAGTTTCTTTAGCTCAATCGGGTTTGAAATACCAGAAAGAACTGCTCTGTGATTAATTAACTCGTCTTGAAATAAATTGAAACTAGCAAACTTGACAGCTTTATTAAATATAATATACAAACGAATGCATTGAGTTTGACGGTGCTTTTAATTTACTTTTCGCATCTAATTCCCATCGATGTGATAAGATTACAATTAGGCATTAACCGTATTTTCATCTATCATACCAATGGGAATAGATGCGC